ATTTTGAACTGTTCCATGTAGTCTAAAAATCTCTAAAGAAATCGAGTCAATGCATGCTCATTCTCTACGAGTAAACTTGTTTACTCACCCCGAAGTTACTGGGGGATTTGTTCAGGTATGAAGACTTGGTTCGTGATTATTATCATGCTTGAATGATTTGTAGACTGGAATATTTCAATTCTTGTAAAGGTCGACTTGAAATGCCATTTATAGCCATTTTGTCAAATGTGTATATTTGATTCCAAACTTATATTATGTGCTTAAGCACACTTTTTGGTATTCATTCTATGTATATGATATGTGGTCAAGGGCCAAACTTCATTTGTAATCCATGTATATTAAAAAATGTAGAATTTTGCCTTTAATGAGAAAAACATGAAAACTTGGGTTTCAATATGTCATTTTCGCACCGGTGTGTGCATTGTGTATGTAATTTATCCTTTATCATTCATTTGCCATATGTGAGGTATGGCCAAGGGCCAAACACCATTTAGTTTTCATTTTTGCATTTTAGTTCACATATTGCATTTTTGGGCTAAAATAGTATAAACCGAGCCTTTAAGGGTTCATTTTCAAATCGGGTGGTGTAAAGTGTGTTCCGGCACCTCCACTAGGTCTCATTTATCTTGTATGAAGTGTGGCCGAGGGCTAAACGGTCATTTGATACCATTTCCAAATTTTGGTTTCCATATTTTCCATTCAAGTTCATTTTCGTCTTTTTGGCCGTTGGGGGGTCGGATTTTGACTCGGCCATTTTCGGGAGCCGCGGACCATTCCCGCGCACTCAAAATCACCATTTACGTCTGCGTGCATGATCGTTTTCGGGAAAAACCCTTTCCTTTGTGATTTGAGGAGCCTCCTATGGAATTATTTTTTAATTTTCTTGCAAAAATCTGATTTTAGGGCATTTTGGGATTTTCTTTCGAGAAGTAAATTCCAGTATTTACATGGTCACTTAGAAAACGTGATTTTCGGGAGGGTCTCTTCTTCGTGTTTTTTCAGAAAATGTCGTCTTGGTACCGGAAATCCCTTGTGAAGTTTCAGCTTCTAGTTTGCATTTTAGCAACTTTTTGCCCCTCTTGACCAGTTCTGATCTAGGGGTATTTTGGGGATTTTCAGTGAATTTTTTTCATTTCCGTTCGCGTAGTAGGGTAGAAAACTCAATTTTAGGGGGGGGGTTTCTTCTTCGTATTTTTCCATAAAAACTCGTCTTGACCTCCGTTTTAAACCTCAATTCTGGGCAGATCAAAAAAATGTAGCAGCTTCCAAGGGCTGCCACCAGCCATGTCATTGGGCGCCAACATGGGCGCCAGTGGGCTCGCACATGGGCGCCGGGCGCGCCATGGCCTTTGTCGGGCCGCCGTGACGTCTCAACTTCAAACCCTCATTTCTCCTTCGTCCGGATTCCAAATCGAGTGAACTTTTTTTTTAACTTGACTAATTTTTCGCTGTCTTTCCAACGGTGTGCTTAGTTGCACCCGTATCTTCCTGGATAATTACCAGTTTACCCTTTTTGCCTTAAGTGCTCATTTTTCTTTGTCTTGTCATTTCTCCTTCGTTTGGACTCTGAATCATGCGATTCTTGAGTCCATCTTGATTAGTTTTTCATTGTATTTCCAGCGGTGTGCTCGGTGGCACCCGAATCCATAGTTTCATAAATGACTATTTTGCCCCTGGGAGCTTAATTGTTATTTTTTCGATCTTTTGCTTCGGCGTTAGTTTTCATTGAGTTCCACGACCTCATAGAAGGTCATCAAAGTGTCTTAGAGGTGTGTTGTCCCTTGGGAGACCGTTGACTTGCTTCTTGCTTCAACATCTGGATCCGCTATTGGGTCAATCTTCGGTTCATCACATGACGCGCTGGCCTAAAAACCAGGGTCGTCACACAATATACGCCTCAGTCCTACCCACTGGTCCCGAGACCTCAAGCTTGCATCATGGCTTACATATGCATATATATAAAATACACCATTAATAAACGGAGCCATATCTAACAATAGCATAAGTAGAGTGTCTTGACTTATTAGCCAGCCCACCTATACATCAATCAAACAAAACCATATCTAATAATGGTGTAAAATATCAAGGAGCCTAGCTTATTAGCTATGATCACATCACATACAGGGATAAATCTCATCATAGACATATATAACAATAGTACAACAATTACAAATAGTAATAAATCGACTCTAGGACCACATACATATGGTAAAAGACCGATTAAAATCATAATACTATTTACTCATATTTAACAATGATAAAACAAATAATTACAACCATGTATCATGCTTATGTATCAACGTGATCAATTATACTATCAACAACAATGAATATAATCATTAATATGATTAATAGATTGAATTACACAATTTAAATACCATAAAGATTAATTATAACCTATTAGTTAATTTAATATTTCCCCTCCAATAATGAATCACAACAGTATAATACAATTTATATATTTTAAACCCATATCACTGTTCCCAAAACTTATTAACATAATTATGATCAATTATACTCAAATCAGGGTCATTCGGAACACTTTTGAAGTAAACAAGTTCACAAAGCTCGAGCAACAAACCCTTAGTGCTTGAGCATAGCCATGTGCTCGAGCATAACCCCTAGTGCTTGAGCACTGGGTGTCGAAACGGTGTTGTGCTCGAGCACAAAGTCATAGAGCAGTTTTGGCATATTCATTTTTGGCCGATGAATCCATCATTTGGGTCCTAAAAACATGTTTTCTAAGTTCCATATGACTACCAACGAATTATATGATGAAATTACACAAGATTCATCAATTTGAAAACAAGTTTCATGCATTAAATCCAAACCCATCAATTTGAAGAATAAACACATATAAACATGAAAATAGTTGATTCAAGTCCATGCATAACAATTAATTGTCCCATTAAATTCTCTGATTTAATTTCTAAAGTCTAGCATGTAATGGAAAGACTATAGATTCAAAGGAGAAGAGATAGATAAATAACTTGTCTTATGATTTTTGGATTAAAAATCAACTATACAAGCTCTCCGGTCTCCTTCTCTAATTCTGGCAACCTTCAAGCTATCTCCGATCACCTTCTTCTTCGTTTTCTTTCTCTCTCTCTAGATCTCTGCCTCTCTTTGTAACTCACGCATGTACAAAACTCTCTTCTTCTGACTAACACACACACACACACACACACATATATATATACTAAACCACAAATCCTAACCTAAGTCTAACTAAAATAATAATAATAATACTAATAAAAAATCCCAAACGTATTATTTTATCAAATCAATATCCACTTGATATATATACATACATATATATACACCTTCCCATGGGCTATAATTCTATATAACTTATCTCGGCCTTCTCCAATTAGTCCAAACTCATTCATTTGGGTCAAATAACTCCAAGCCCAAACCACGATGTCACTATAAATCGGTTATTTTGTGTAGAATATTGTAATTTCGGTCTTAAGGGCCTTAGCTATGTAATTAATCGTAACCTTTTGAATTACTCTAGGTATATTTTAGGCATGTATGTGACGATAATGATGTCTACGTTCATGTTAACTGATTATGTAAGTTTCATAATGTTTAGAATTTAATTATGAAAATTTTGAAATGAAGAGGAGCAAATTACATTTTTTTTTAAACGATATATGATATTGTTAATCACTTTAAATTTAGTATTCGCGAGTCAAGAGACACGTGTTTTAAGGCCTAATTGACCGTCGTATAGCCCGGTATTAAGTACCAAGCTGAGGGAATTAAAATGAAAAATGCATTTTTGGCCCAAATCACTGGTTACCAGTTGTCGCTCCCATACTTAGCCAAAATTTCTATTTATCTTGCATTTTCAATCCCAAATTTCGACGTATCATAACTTTCTCGTTTCAAACCCGAATGGACTCGTTCTTGAGTCTAAGTTGAATGTTTTTAAACCTTGTTTCACATGGTGTGGGTATCGTCTTCTGATTTTGACATGAAAAGCCTTTTTACCCTTATGAAATTTAAGGTCCCGGAGCGGATCGACCCGAAGCTATGATTATCTTACGTTTATGAACCAAAATGGTTAGAAATGTCCATTATGACCCCTGTATGACTTTTATAGCATAGTATGGAGCAAAATGACCATTTTACTCTTTAGTGTCCTCGGGTTCGAGTAAGGACTTGGTTAGGAATTCTTTATTATTCCTCTGTAATCGCCGAGCACGTATTACAAGCAGTTCACTTTCACTTATTCGCTGTGCAGTCCTCTGTGCTTGTCGAGCACATTATCCTTGCTCGTTGCCGGAATACTTGATCGCTGTCAAAGCATCCTTGCTCGCCAGTTTGTTGTGTTGCCGAGCAATCCTCCTTGGTTCAATTCTTTATTATTCATTTGGGACTATATATATAAATATATGAATATACTCCGTAATTCGTTGTTAATTTTGGAATCGAAACTATAATGGAATTTCAAATGAACCGAAGTTTGGTTTGGTTTGCATGTGCTGTGTTGTTCGAGTGATTGTTTTGAGCCTTGCACCGTCTCCCTTTCCTCTAACTACTAAGAGCATCTTCAGCAATAGGTTAAAAGACCATTTTGTATAAAATATACACAATGTGTAAATTTTTTAATATCTTAAGATACATTACTACCTCATCAATATATAAAATTGTTGTGTATTTTGCACAACTCACGGTCACATCATCATATTTTCTCTCTCATCTCTTTTTCTTAACCTATTAATCAGTTAACCCTTAAGTAGTTTTGTAAAAGATATTGGGAATGACACGTGATTCATTATTATTGACACATATATTTTTATACAAAATATATAAAATAATAACTAGAGCTAAAAATAATTAGTTTATTTTATTATTATTTTTATGTAAATTTATTATAAAAAAAATATATATATATATAAATAAACAGCAGATGCTCTTACCCAAACATTCTTGCCCTAAAAAAAACGCTACACTTGAGACAAAAAGATAGTGGTGGTTGTTAGTTGCAACCAAACCTCACTAGGGTGTCAACGTATTTGCCGTCCTTGAAATAATAATGAACGAAAATCTATAAAGAATGATCGACAGTCCCTACAGTTCCTAAATAATAATCCCCGTGCCTAGTGACCCTCCTCTCTCTCTCTCACCAGTTTCATGACCAGGGTTCCTTCGGATAATCCAATGGCGCGTCCATCAATGGCGTCTATTCTCAAAGCCTACTCTCTGCCTCTGATTCTTTTCACAGTCTCAATGTACTATCAGCTCTTCGTCATCCCGCGTTCGTTCCCTGTTTCTCATTACGATGGTGAGTCACTCGCCCATTCCCCCGCCAAACTTTTTTCTCTCGCAATACACACATATATATGAATAATCGTTTTCTTGATTGCAATTACAGTTTTGGGGATCAATAGGGATAACTCTATTGAAGAAGTGACTGATGCCTATGAGAAGCTCTCATCCAACTGGTAATTTGATTTTAATTCCAATTTTATGCGTTTCTGATCCTGTACTACTCTACAGAAAGTGTAAATATCTGTTCGCGTGTATGTGGTTCTATTTTTTATTTTTTTTATTATTTTTGGTTGTAAATGGAATTACATTATTGGTATTTTTGGATTTAGAAATTAGGTGTATTAAACGTGATTTCATGGCTATGTATTAAACCAAAACCGAATCAAATTGAAGCTCAGATTGTGTAGTAAAAAGTTTAGGCTTTAATTATCTGAAATTTGGTTAATAAATTTGTTGAAGTCAATTTTTTTTTAATTACTTTATGAACTAATCACATTTCCCAACTCATTCCCTATGTGAACAAGTTTCTAGTGTTTGGGTAATAAATAAAAAATTAATGAAATTGGGTAAAATAATGAAAGTTGATATACTTATAAAAACAATTAAAATAGTGAAAGTTGATATATTCGGGTTGAATGGGTAATGGTTGATGGGAATTCTAGAAGCCATGGTAAAACTGTATTTGCAAAAACAATTGCGTGAATTGAAACCATAGTCTTTTTGACTTTTGACATGTATGTTGCCTATAAAAGGTGCTATTCCATCACTTACAAAGATATGGAATTTGGGTTCATCCGTTGATATTAGATCATTAACTTAGCTGCTTTTTGTAGCTTGTGTATACCTCAACTTTTAAGGCACTGCAGTTTATATTTTCACTGGTCATGGCCTATTTTACGTGACCAACTGCTCTTTACTTGAGTGAATCTTGGCCTATAAACCCCTTGTATCTAATGTGCATATCCTCTACTCTTGTACATACTTCTTTGATTATTTATTAATTTATCTATTTTCTTTTTGGGGTTGGTGGGTGTTCAATGTACACATTTCTATTCATCTCTAACAGAACTAAGCAACTAAAGAAAAAGATGGCAATATCAGTGATGATACAACAATCTCTTTTTTATTGATCCATTGAGAACTATCTGGATTGAGGGTCAACAGGGGTAGACTCTGTAATTTATTAGAGGCGCTAAATTTAATATAATGAGTGTGTATGTGTACATTTATTTACAATTGGTGGCTATAGAGAAAATGTATGCATCATTGGTGGGGTCCGACAATATTATTTTTAAAAATAGCTCTAAAAGCAAATAGCAAAACAAGAAATTTTAAATTTTTAGGCAGAAGGGATTCCACACTTAACCATAAAGTAGGTTTGCCTTTGATGATTAAGGGATATGGACAGAAGTGAAAAATTAAACTATGGTATAAATCCCTAAAAGTGTGATTAGTGAAGTTTTCAGTTATTATAGGAACAATTATCCTATAAATTCGAAAGGCGGAAACCTCTTTAAGCCCCCAGGCCACACAAGTATGCTGATATAAGAGTGGTTATGCTTTTGGTACAAAGGGAATCATATGATGAGTGTTTATCCAACAAAAGTCAAAAGGGAGGCACATTGGACCATGGTGAAGCACATGGGGGTAGATAGGCAAGAATAAAGGTTCATGATAGGTATGGGCAGTTGAGCTACATGTCAAACACAAGGGTTGCAAGGCACTGGGATGAAATATGAGATGCAAGCACAGGCGTGATTGAGGACTGCAGAAAGACAGCTTGTGCATAAAGGGGATATGCTACAGAGGCACCACGTTAGTTGGAAAGGGTTCCCTGATGTGCGCTTAAGAGGAGTTCTAAATTACAATGGGGGTGTCACAGGATCAGGTGGGAGAAGGATGTTGTGCCCCACCACATTTAGGAAAAGGTTATGCTATGCAGGAGCCACACAAGACAAGCTTGAAAATGTTGTTTGAGTTCAACTTGTTTACTTAGCAAATGAACATCAGCCAAACTCTTACCGACCTGAGTTTGAGTTCTTTGTGAACTTCTTGGTTCGTTTGCAAGCCTTACGGTTAATGGCCCTAGGTTGAGGGGTGACTCTTTGTTTTGGGCTTTAGCTTTGAAATTATATAATTCAGTGGACTGCTTCTGTTGTTTAGGAATCTGTCTTGTCATTATTATGGTATCACAAGGAAAGAAGAATTTAGTAAAATTTCTTGCACTAGTAGGAGCTTCAATGTGCATATTAGTCAACCTTAAGGATTTTGTTAGAGATGCTTCTTCTCTGTAACCTTTATTCTTGTCCATTCAATCAATGAAGCTTTTATCTAGTTACATTTTTTTTTTGATAAATTTATATCTAGTTACACTTTGGTTCCCACAGAAGGTGATATGACTCTTGGGCTAACCTGATGCTATGAGTTGTGCAATGTCCACTAATCTAGACATAGAGGGAGGGTGAGTAGGTCTTGTAGAACAAATAGACTGCTCTAACTACTTTTAATATTAAAGAAAATTTAACAGAATTTCAATCACAATAAACTAGTAGATAGTAAAATCCATAGAAATTTAAAGGAATACAGCAGTTAATAGTAGACACCAGATTTGTACGTGGAAAACTCTAGAAAGGAAAATTCCAAGGGACTTAGTCCAGGCAAAGTAATCAACTATCAAGAAAGAATGATTATAACCTAGGTTAATAGTTCATTGACCCTTGAACACCCCTAGTTAACTCCTTGACACAAAGACTCCAAAAATTTCCCCAGAAAAGTCTCCAGGCAGTGTTTCTCACTTGTCAGCATCATGCTCTCCTCACGAACCTGTTTCTCACTTGTCAACAACGTCCTCTCCTCACGAAACTGTTTCTCTAGTGAAACGGTCTCAACCACCAGTCGTCCAAACGTCAGTTTGGTTCTGAATTGAACTGGTGTGTTGAACTAATCTCTTTAGCACGCAACAATGAATGTCAAACACATATGCATACACTCACCAAAACCAAGTATGATGAATGTAGACAAAAAATATGCATCCTCAGATATATTCATAAAAAATTGCATTCAATGATGTATTCTCAGTGTGTATGAGATGTGTATAGGCCTGCCCTACTGTTAGATATATATAGGCAACCAAGTGGCAAGTAGTAGTAACAGAATAAGATTTTTGCAGATTTTAAAACCAAGTTGAAAATTTCCTTTCTGAACAAGTTGATCTATTGAATTAAAAGTTGATTGATCGACATCACTCCAGAAGCCTTTGATCGATACATCGGTCTATTGACTACTTCTGCTGGTTTATACTTGGAAAAATATTCAATATCGAAGTTTCCAAAACATATTCATGCATGTTTACATTATTTTAGGGAATCAAAACAAGATTAAACTTGAAAATTTAGAAAGACTAGGTATGCAATGCATGAACCCTAGTTTGGCAAGTGCATTTGTGTCAAATTACCCTTACTGGGAAAAAAAAAAAAAAAAAAAAAAAAAAAAAAAAAAAAAAAAAAAAAAAAAACCTAAATACCCTTGAATGTAGCATGAATTCAATCTTCAACCTTGGGAGGTAACTAACACTTACTTCTGAACAATTTCTACAATAAGCTAGAAATTAGAACAGAAATATAGACTCAAGTTTTGTTCTACGAAAGTCCTCCCTAACACCACAGAAGGGGAATAAACTCTTGGAGAAGTTCAGAATTCTAAACATCAATGTTGTTTTTCGAGTTCTGAAACTTCAATTATAGTTAAAATTTGGTCAATCTAGAAGTGGAATTTCCGTTTTAGTTGTGGATGTTACCAGTATAAAGAACAATCAAATTCACGATACTCTGGGTTTCACTTTGTAGTGTCTCTACTTTTTTCTTCTTTCAGCCCCAATATTAGTATGTTATATCACCAGACCCTGTATAAAATTTATAGACATAGTTATGCATTTTCTTGAATCAAGCAGAGTAAAGTTTACTTGTAGAGTTGATCTTGATCTTTCATGGAGAAGTTAATAAGTAGTTAACAGTTTATGTAATATAAACTTTTTATTGATTGTTATGTACCATATATTGTTTGTATTAGACTAAAATTTGCATCATTTCAGGCGTTCAAGTGTGGAAGTTCCTTCTACTGATGAATTTATCAAGGTTTGTAATATTCTTTTGTACTGTAAAGTTGATTTGTTTGTTACAAATTTAGTTGCATACATAATAAATTCATGCATCATATCTAACATATTATATCTCCACCGTTTGGTGAATGCCCATAGAATAGGAAATCATATTGGAAGGATTCGGCTTGACGGGAATATTGTGACAAGGGATGAGGAGGTCCGAACTGGGTTTGTGTCTTTCTTTCAGCAGTTTTTGTGAAAGTTTTAGCCATCCGCTTGAGAAGAGTTCTGGATGAGGTGATTTCGGATTCCCAGAATGCTTTTGTTGGTGGGTGTCAGATTATGGACTTGGTATTGGTCACTAGTGAGTGGGTGGAAGCTAGGGCTAGAAGTGGTATTTCGGGGATTGTTTGCAAATTGGACATCTAAAAGGCCTACGACCACGTCTCTTGGAATTTTTTGATGTATACCATATGTTGGAGAGGATGGGTTTTGGGCATAGATGGAGATCATGGATTTACCGGTGTATCTTGACAGCGCATTTCTCTGTCTTGGTTAATGGCTCCCCTGCAAGGTTCTTCGCTAGTTCTCGAGGGTTACGCCAGGGAGACCCTGGACCTTTCTTTTCATTATCGTTATGGAGGCATTTAGAAGGTTAATGGGGAGGGGGGAGGATTTGGGTCTTATTTGAGGTTTCTCGGTGGGAAATTCTCCCAATTAGTTGTCTGTTTCTCACTTGCTTTTTGCGGATGATACTATAGTCTTTTGTGATGCGAGGGTGGATCAGTTGCGGTTTTTGAGATGTGTTTTGACTTATTTCCAAGTTGTCTTAGGTCTGAAAATCAACATTGGGAAAAGTGAGTTAGTGCCAGTTGGGGAGGTAGAGGAGATTCATGTTTTTGCTGATATTCTTGGGTGTCGTGTTGGCTCTTTTCAGATCTCCTAGTTGGGGCTACCCCTGGGTGCCTCGTCCAGGACTTCAGATTGGGACCCTGTGGTTGAGAGATTTGAAAGAAGACTTGCAGGTTGAAAGAAGCAATACCTTTCAAAAGGAGGGAGGCTTCCTCTTATGAAGAGCACTCTTTCGAATCTCCCTACCTACTTCATGTCTCTTTTCCCGATGCCTATGTCTATTGTTTAGAGATTAGAGGAGATTCAGAGGAAGTTTTTGTGGGGTAGTAAGGGTGAAGAGTTCAAATACCACTTGGTTAACTGGGAAAGAGTGTGCTCCCCTTTAAACAATGCTGAAATTTTCTATTATTAGTTCCCTTTTCTGCTGGGTAATGGGAAGAAATTGTATTTCTTTAGATGAGATAGTGGACTTTTTGGGTTCTTTGGGTCCATAGGGCTCTATATTTGGTTTTTTTTTTTTTGTATTTTTCTTTGGTTTATTGTTTTTATCTTGGGATGTGTTCCCCTCTTGAACGCTTTCTAATACATTTTAGTTATAAAAAAAAAAAAAAAAAAAAAAATGCTGTTGAATAAGTCTTTGTTGGGAAAATGGCTTTGGAGATTTCGAGGCAAAAGGTCCAGATTATGGAGGAGGGTTGTTGCCTGTCGATGTGGGGAGGGAGACGGAGGATGGATGTCTGGAGAGTTGAGATCTCCAGCGGGTGTGGGTGTGTGGAAGCTTATCCAGAAGGGTTGGGATGAGTTCTCTAAATGCATTTGGTTCAAAGTTCGGAACACGTTAGGTTTTGGGAGGATTGCTCGTGTAGGGACTTTGTCTTGGCTCGTAAGTTTCTTAGACTCTTCAGGATCTCTACGAGTAAACATGCTCTAGTTGCTGATTGATATCATCTTGATGATGGGAGGTTGACTTAAGATGTGCGGTTTCGATGAGCGTTTTATGATTGGGAACTTATGAATGTCACGAAGTTCTTAGCTTTACTCCATAGTTAGGTGGTGGAGGGCACTGGTACGGATGAGATGGTTTGGGTGGGTCCCTGAGAGGAACTTTTGAGGTTAGATCTTTATACCAAAGCTTGTCGGAAACCCTAGGCTCTACCTTCCCTTGGAAGGTGGTTTGGAAGACGAAGGCCCCTTGAAGGTGTTTTTTTTTTTTGCTTGGACATCCACTCTTGGAAGCATTCTCATTCTTGACAATCTTAGAAGGAGACGTTAGTTTGTGGTAAACTAGTGTTGCATGTGTAAGATGGGAGAATCTGTGAACCATCTTCTTCATTGCCCAGTAGCGAGAGATATTTGGTCTATGTTTTTGGTTGCTTTTTGGTATGTTTTGGGGGTACCCAGTTCCACGGTGGAAATGTTAGAGACTTGGAGAGGGTGTATAGTGGAGAGCCGAGTCAGAGAAGCTTGGAAGGTCACTTCCCTTTGTTTATGGTGGGGTTTGTGGCACGAGAGAAATAGGAAATATTTTGGAGGGAGAGGAATCTCCAATTTGGGCTCTCAAATACAATATTTTGTCTACTCTATTGTTTTGGGGTTTTGGGCGAAATTGTAAATCTCTGGGGAATCTTTTGGATTTTGTGGATAGCTTGAAACTTTAGCGTCGCTTTGGACACCCTTCATATTCTTTTGGGTTCGCTCCCCTTTTTGAGTGCTTCTAATGATATTTCACTTATATATACATATCTTGTGACATTGTCAGATGGGCCATCAAGTTGAATAAAAATTCATTAGTGTCCTAAATATGTTCTATCGTATGCCTTTCCCACATTTTCTGTTGCACTTAGGAACAAAAGTTAAGTGTGGTAGCTGAAATTAGAATTTTGATAAAGATGAGTGGTCAAATAGTATAGCAGAAGAGGGAAGGTGGAGGTAGTATCAATCTATACAAGATAACAGGAAGTTGATCAGATTGGTTTGGTCTTCTAAAAGAAAAGGCCAATGATTTTACTAACAAGAGGGACTGATGTGATTTGGGTTAAAGGTGCTGCATGAGAGGGTGACATCAAAGACTGACCTAATTTAAGGGACTAAGAAAGATGTGGTAGTCTGTGATTCACTATCCTTAGAGGAAGCAGATTGGTGAAAGAAAATCAATGAAATGGAATCTAAATGTTATTAGCAAGTAATCACAATTCATTCTCAATTATTATTTGAGAAAAACTATTTGTGGTGAACTTGCCCTCATGGTTGAATGACCTAGGGAGCGTTTGGGGGGCTTCTAGAAGGCTAAAAGACTTTTAGCACTTAAAAGACCTTTGTCCTCAAAAAGGTGGTTTGGTGAAATATGGAAAAGAAACTTGTAAAGGAAGTTGAAGTCCTATAGAGTCCATTGTGAAGAAGTTAACAGGCTAGCTTCGGTAATTTTAAGTGACATTTATGGACTGTTTGCTTCCTTTTATTCTTGAAACTATCACCATCAAACTCTAAATGCCAATCAACTACTCTGTGGAAAAATAGAGAGCTGCAGAGGAGTCATCTGCTCCCATTCAAATTCCAATACTACGGCAGTTTTCGTAAAAGAATTCTTAATAGCTTGTAATGCTTCAAATATCATTGCGCTTTAATTATGAACAGTAAGTTAATCTTATTATATATTTTTTATATTCTGAACATCTACAGTTAAAACCATAGTCTCTCGCTCTCGATCTAGCAAAATTCCAGCTTAATCTTTTTATATCTGAGGTTTGTCTTTTACGTCTTGAGTTATTTACAATTCCTTTCTTTGTGTACCTATGAAATACATACATATGTATGTATATATATATATATATATATATTAGGATCTTCCCCATAAATATACTCTGGCTCTCCAACACCTTTTATCAATAAAGGAAAAGACCAAACTATCCTTATTCTTTGTTTTTTCACCCGCAAATAGTCCTGATTCTTATTAGGATCTTGTTGCTTTCTTTCATCTTTCAACCTCTCACACACCATCCAAACACATGCGCATCAATCAGTTAAGTCAAGAACTAAATGTAATGAATTGAAGGGATAAACTTGATCAAGAACCCATGGCATTTCAGAAGTCCATAGGGAGAATTTTTTTAGTTTGGAGAAAGGGATGGGTGCAGAGAAGGGTCTACAACTCATATCAATCTATCATTGCTGCTATGGGAACTTAGATACTGTCGACCATTTGTTTTGTAACTGCTCTTTTGCTAGAGAAGTTTGGGAGAAGATTTTTCATCTCATGAATGCTGTTGTTCCTCAACTTCTTAACGTGCTTCAGCCGGTGAAATGGTTCTTAGATCATACTAGAGGTTCTTCTATAAAATCTAAATCCCTGCAATGTCTTATGCCTACTGTTTTTTTTGGCTATCTGGAGGGAAAGAAATGCTGCTTTGCATGATGGGATTAGGAAATCCTCTCAAGAGGTGGCTTTATCTAGCTTATGGGAGTGTTTGCAGCTTCTTGGCTTGAATTTGCAAGATTTCAACTGTCTCGACTTACTTTATTTATTTATTTATTTTTGTAAGTAAAATTGTATTAAAGAGCGTTCAAAAGGGAAACACATCCCTCAACATAGTGTCCACACAAAAAAAGCCACCTTGAGAGGGCTTTTCGAATGCTAAACAACTTTCCATGGGAAGGGATCGCCTGGAACATCCGTGAGGCATCTATAGAGAGATTGGACATCAAATCGATCCAGAGAAGAGGGACCCACACCTTAAAGTCAAGACCACTGCCCACCACCTTCTAATGGTACAAAAGCTCCAAGAACCCAATGGCATCCTCCATCTCCCAATCTTGAAAGTGCCTTGAAAAATGCACATCCCAAGTCATTTCCCCGTTATCAAGCCAATAGCAGTCAACCACCAAGGCGTGCATATCCGTGGCAATCTTGAAGAGTTTGGGGAAAGAGCATGCAAGAGAACGATCCCCACACCAAATGTCCTCCCAAAATTTGATTCCCCTACCGTCCCTAACTTGGAACCTAATGTGTTTAGAGATTCATCCCACCCCTTTCGGATGAATTTCCAAATCCCAACTTCACTTGGAATTCTCACCTCACGATAACACTAGCTTCCTCTCTCCTCCCTAAATCTACAAGCAATCGGTCTCCTCCTCATTTTATTTCTCTCCACACCAAACCTCCATAACCACTTTCCCGAAAGAGCCTTATTAAAGGGCTCCAATCTTCTACTACCTTGGCCTCCCAATTGAATTGGGCTACAAACTTGCTCCCCATTAACCAAATGGTACTTGAATTGCTCTCCCATACCACCCCAAATGAAGTTCTGCTAAATTTGATCAATCCTCTTTGTCACCGAAGAGGGAATATGAAAAAGCGGGAGGAAATAGGTAGGAAGACTAAGCAAAGTGCTTTTCATTGAGGTTATCATTCCACCTTTCAACAAGTATTGCTTCTTCCACCCTGCCAACCTCCTCTTAAACCTTTCCACCACTGGATCCTAGCCACCCACTCTCCTTGAAGATGTCCCCAAAGGTAACCACAAGTACACGATGGGAAAGGAACCAACGCTGCACCCAAAAGTGTCGGTAAGAGAAGCCATGTAAGGGACCTCCCAACCGGAACCATGATGCTCTTTCCCACATTTACTTTCAAGTTAGAAACAACTTGAAACCAAATCAACACACATCTCAAATTTCCCATCTGGGACTCAGCGTCACAAAAAAACTAAGGTATCATCAACCAACAAGAATTAAGAAATCTTCAATTGATTGAGACAATCCTTTCCCACCCTAAAACCTCTTATAAAGCCCAAATCGATTGCCCTCCTCAACATCCTACTGAGAGCCTCCATCACAATGAGAAACAAGAAAGGGGAGAGCAAATCCCCTTGCCTTAATCCTCGAAGAAGCCAGTTTGAGCTCCGTTCACCATAATCGAGAATTTAAGAGTGGAAATACAAAATTCAATCCACCTCCTCCACTTCTCCCCAAAATCTATCCTCTCTATGATATAGAGTAAGAACCTCCAATTCATATGATCGGTAAGCCTTCTCAATGTCAAGCTTGCACAGGGCCCCAATAACCTCACCGCTCAATCTGGAATCAACACACTCGCCTATAATAAGAATTGAGTCCAAAATCTGACGACCTTCGACAAAAGCATTTTGGGAATACGAGATAACCCCATCCATCACCTCTCTCAATCTAAGGGCAAGAACCTTAGCAATAAGTTTGTAAATGGATCCCACCATGCTAATAGGTCTGAAATCCCTAACATTTGATGCGCCCCTGATAAGGGCAATGAAAGTGGCATATATGCATTTTCTCAAACAGACCATGAAGATGAAAAGCATGAAACGTGCCTATCACCTCCCTCCTAACCACCTCCCAAACTCTCCAAAAGATATCTCATAGTCTAGCCATCCGGGCCAGGGGATTTATTCCCATTACAATTTTTCAAAGCCAGCAACACTTCCTTTTCAGAAAAAGGCCTCTCCAACTCTTCACTATCCAAATCAGAAATCGAATCAAATTGCAGTCCCCCGAGTAAGGGTCTCCCACCTAGAGGTCTCAAGTGAACAACTTTTGATAGAATGAAGCAATCCCCCTACACACATCCTCCTCCTTGGAAAAGAGATCTCCATCGTCCTGGATCCTTCCAATATGATTATCCCTCCGATGAGCATTCGCAAGTGTATGAAAGAATCTTGTATTCTTTTCGCCCTCCTTAAGCCACAGGACTTGAGATTGTAGTTATTCACAAGCCTACAAAAGAATCTCGTATTCTTGTGGATAGTTTGAGATTATAGTGGCTCTTTTGTTTTCAATGATTTGTAAGTGGGATGCATGTACACAATTTGAAGAATACTCTATCCTTTCCTACTCTTATACTTCTTTATTAAAAGGTTTCCACGCCTATTGTTTTTTGTTCTTTTTTAATATGGTCAAACTTTGTAATAATTTTATAATAAACATTTTATTTGATTTTTCTTACACTATCCCCTTTCACGCTAAAAGAAAACCTTATCTGTTAACAACCATCTACTCCAAAACCTCAAGTTGTTACAGTGGTGAAACTTTAATATATAAATCCTTCAACACGCCCCCTCACGTGTGGCCTTTTTTTTGGGCCAACTCGTGTTTCAATTTTTTATTAGGGTGACTGTGAGGTTTGAACTCAAAACCTTTGGCTCTGATAACATGTAAACAACCATCTATTCTAAAAGTTTAAGCAGTTAGAGAGGGTGCAACTTTAATGTATAAATCCTTCAACTTTATCCAATTTACAAGGGTCACGACTCATATGTTGTTGCATGTCCATTTCAGGTGTGTGTCCAAAATCAAGAAATTTAATTTTTAAAATTACAGACACAAATGTGTTAGACATGTCTGAGAGTGTCCAAGAAATGCTTGTGTGTGGCACGACCATGACTCGTTCCTTGAAGTTTCCGTTCCAAAGCTCTAGAATTCTCCTTCTTTTTTACCTAAGGGAGTTTTTGTTGCATCAGGTTTTTCCTATTCGTAGTAGTTGTTTGACTTGAAAATTAAAAGATTAGTACTCAATTTTTTTTTTTTTTTCTCTCATAATTAAAAAGATTAGGACTTGATCTATAATACACTTAAAATACTAGAAACCATATACAAGGACATTAACATAACTTGACCTAAAACTTAGATTCATGGATCACCCACACATCAAGAAAATTGAAGACTACAAAAATGCCCTCGACTCCTAATTATAGTGATAGTATATAAATTGTAAACTCCACATTATTAAATACATGCCAAATCAAGACTGGCCTTGGAATCATATTTGTCTTGTCTTTTATACACTTTTCCCCATTGCCTTTAAAGGCCCAGAGATAGGTACTGGTTTCAGAACACTCAAATGGATGTCCAGCAGAACTGCTTTCTTTGCGTTTTGATTTCTGCTCTTTATTTTTGGTGTTATTTTAATTTTATTATGATTTTTTCTTACATGAGTATCAGGCCCTCCTATGTTTTTTCAGTGTTTAAATTCTTTAAAACATGTGGTCTGTTTCACAGATTCGATATGCTTTTGAGCTGTTGAAGAATCCATTATGGAAGAGAGATTATGACATATTTGGCATTGATGAGCAAGTAGTGAGTTCTTAGCTCTTAACCTTTAATATGAAGCCTATATTTTTTAATTTATACCATCTATATTTTTCTTTGCCTGGTTTTGGATTATGAGTGATGTTTAATCAAATGTCATTGATTTCTTTGCTGTAGCATGTTATTGAAAAACTCAAGGAGCAATATGCTGGGGCAAGTTTTTCTGAAATTGACCTTCCATTATTGGAGGCTGCTTCCTTTGGTTGGTTGAAATGTTCCATCCTAATGTATCTGCTTTCTCACAAAAGCAATTTCATTTGGAAATATGTTCTCCATGTTTCTTCTTGTGGGGAACAGAACTCTGAACGATTTTGTAATTAATTTTTCAATTTCTGTTCAGATGCGGTAGATCCTGCTTTTAATGTCATTACTTCTGAGAATCTCCTGTCTAAGTTTGAGCACTCCAAGGCATTTCTAGTTCAGGTATGATCAGTAACTGCAATATGTTGGCATATATTCATTTTTATGACGCTATTTCATTTTAATTTATTTTTTGGTAGTTTGTAGTTAATTTGTTCATTTATTTTTCTTCTTTTTTTTCGTTTTTTTTTTTTTTTTTTTTTTTTTTTTTTTTTTTTTTTTTTTTTTGTGAAAGGTAAGTGGCATGATTCTGGTCATTCTTTTCCATAAAAGTTTCCCGTAAAAAACGAAAATATACAGATTAACTAACCAAAAGCAGGACTAGCATTTTATACTTTTTTAATGTTAGCATTTTAATTGAGGATTATAATGCGGACGTTGGTTGCAATGTCAAGACTGAATTTACCAATTTATAAACTTAGATACATGTGTTGCGAATTTTTTTAAAATGACAGAAATCTTTTAGTAAAATGTTGAATTATGTATTGAACTTTATGAAATGCTAAATTTACGTTTTTTTTTTTTTTAATAAGTATATAATAGAAAGAGCTCAAAAGGGGAGTGCAACTAGGGCTGCAAATGAGCCGAGTTGAGCTGAGCCGAGCCAAGCTTTGGGTTGCTCAGGCTCGACTCATTATCTCCATAGTGGTGCTCGGGTTCGGCCGAGCTTGGCCTAACCAAGCTTGGGCTCGGGCTCGGCTCGGGCTCGGCTCGGCTCGGCTCGGGATCAGTAACAATCACCAATTCCAAAAATCACTGATCTCTTCCATGAAATCCGTTCTCCTTCTCCGACCAGAAATAAATCCTTCTGATCTCCATCTCCGACAAGAAAGAAATCCATTCGAACACCATCTTCCACAAGAAAGAAAAAAATAGAAATACACAACAAATTTTCAAAATGAAATCAAACCTTCCAAGGTTTTATCCCGATCTACAATATTGTTGCACTACTCGACGTCTCGACCTTAAATCCGTTAGAGAGAGACAGAGAGAAGAGTTCTGTGTTGCATGATGGGGGCTGTTGGCAACAGGGGAGGTGAAGAAGTTAAGAGAGCTAACGTGCAGCTATAGACTTCTAACACTAGGTTATTCTTCTCTCTTAACTTTGGCACATCAAGGACTGAGATGTATTAAAGATTAAGGGCTGAGATTCAATCTTATTTGGATGATGGGCTAATTAATTATAAGTCCTTGGGCCTTATTAACGAAATGGTATGAATTGGGCCAAACTTGTATGGGCTATAAACCTTTTAAATACAATATGGTAATAGAATATGGGCTAAACATTTTAAATGTAGAATGGTACTACAAATTGGCCTTTACTTGACGAGCTTGTTCACAAACCTAACGAGCCGAGCTTAAGGTAGCTCAATGTTATGCCCCGCACAAAGAGGTTACGCCACGTAGGCGCCTCGCAGACGCATAATAAGATATGACATGGCAACTTGGGGGTTTTAGAAATGCATTTTTAATTATTTAGATGAGGTTATTTTTAGAATTTTTTGAAGTCGGGACGACTTTCGGGCTTGGGAACTTCTCCCGGTTTTCTCATTTTAAGTGAGGGGCATTATTGGCATTTCACACGTGTATGTATATATATATATATGTAATTTTAATCGTGGATATATTTTATGGGACATGGCTGTACATGATTTATTAGTGAATGGGCAAAGGGGTAATTTTGCCAAAAGTTAGTAAGCCACATAATGTTGACACTTGCCATATGTTGGACCACATTTCCAAATGCACGACCAAACCATTTCCCCCTCCTCTTCCCCATTCGTCCATTTCCTCCTCTCTCTCTATATTTTCTCTCTCTCTCTATATCTATGTATACATATGTCTTTTATGTTCAAGCCATGATTTGGAGAGGTTAGAGTGGGATTTTGATGAAGAGCAAGAAGGGATAGTTGATGAGCTTGACAAGAGCTTCATTTTGACACCACTATTGCTAGGGCTTGGAGGATTTCAAATTTGAAGGCTAGCTAAGGGCTTGTTTGGTTGCACACTTTTGAGGTAGTGGTTGTTTAATGCTTTAAACTTTGCCTTTGTTTGAGTATTGTTATATGATTTCTCTTAACCCTCATTCTTGAATGACAAATATGTGATTAAGTTGATGGTTGTGTGATGAGGTGTTCTAAGCATGCTATATGTGATGAAAAAGGTGTTACTTCATACTAATTGAGCTTATATTGCTACTTACATTCATCCATAATATGTGATGTATTTATGCCATTGATTGAATTGAAATGTGAATTGAATTTTAGTGAAATCCCCCAAGTATGATCCCGGTTTCTCTTAAACCCTATTGTGTGTTGTGTGGCTGAAAGGAGCCCAAAGTTGGCGCCTTAGGCATCTTCTATTGAGCCTCCGTGCTCACCTATTCCTTTAACATTTTTCAGGTTACGGTAAGGAAGTGGTTGATGACGTTCCTCCACAAGTGTAGTAGAAGTTGATGAAACCATCTTTTGTAATCGTTTGTAGTCTTTTGTAATCAATGCTTATTAGACGACAATTATTTTGTAAAGCGATGTAATTAAGACCTTAAGGGTCTAAACTTGTAACTTATACTTTTGGGACAATATTTTGTATAATTTGGGCATGAAAGTCACAAAGATGATAACTATATTCATACTTTGAAGTTTTGGGATGGTATGAACTTTAATGATGTATTTTTGGACCATTATAATTTATGGATGATGTTTTGGGGGTGTATCTATGTTTTTGTAATTGCTTTGGGATAGAATTTAAGTGCATAGAGTGTTAATTGTCTTAATTTAAATGTAGGAACCAACCAAGGCTTCTTTGGAGGTCAATGGACATTTTCAAGGTTCAACTTGATCAATTGAGTCCACACTTGATTGATCGAGCCTCCCATAATTAGAAAAAAATTGAGAAAAACTCAAATTTCATGCTCTCGGCCCCACCGTTCGAGCTTGAACTCGATTGATCGAGCCCTTACCTGTTCGCTGGTTGTTAACCCAAACTTCAAATGGCCATAACTCCCTCATTTTAAACCCAAATTGGGGTCGTTCTTGAAACTAAACTAACCGGCTTGAAGTCAGCTTTCCAACGATGTCAATCTCATCCTCAAATTCCAGTCACACCGAGAGTTATTGCTGTTTTAGTGAAGAGGTGTCGAAGAATCCTTCAAACCGAGAGTGGGTAAGTGTGGAAAACTATACCTATGGTCATTAGGAACTTACAAAATGGACTTAATTGGCTAATGTGATGTTAGAGAGCCCTATTTGACTACTTATAGTCAACTATTCCCCATATTTGCCTTGAAATGACCGATTTACCCCTGTATGCCAACCAGCGAACAGGTAAGAGTGCTCGATTGATTGAGCCTCCCATACTTAGAAAAAAATTGAGAAAAACTCAAATTTCATGCTCTCGGCCCGCCCCACCGTTCGAGCTTGAACTCAATCGATCGAGCTTAGGCTCGATCAATTGAGTTAGGCTCGATCGATCGAGCACTCTTACTTGTTCGCTGGTTGTTAACCCAAACTTCAAATGGCCATAATTCCCTCATTTTAAACCCAAATTGGGTCGTTCTTGAAACTCAACTGACAGGCTCGAAGTCAGCTTTCCAACGATGTCAATCTCATCCTCAAATTCCAGTCACACCGAGAGTTATTGTTGTTTTAGTGAAGAGGTGTCGGAGAATCCTTCAAACTAAGAGTGGGTAAGTGTGGGAAACTATACCTATGGTCATTAGGAACTTATGAAATGGACTAAATTGGCTAATGTGATGTTAGAGAGCCTCATTTGACTACTTATAGTCAACTATTCCCCATATTTGTCTTGAAATGACCGTTTGCCCCTATGTGCCCTCGGGTCCAGTAGGGACTCGGTTAGCAATCCGGATCCCCCGGATTTGGGTCGTTACAAGAATAGTGTGGAGTAGTCTAGTCTCTTCTGGACTTGTCTAGAGTTGTATAGAGTAGCTTAGAATTCTCTAGACTTGTTTTGTATATTGTAAGATAGTTCCAGACTTGTAGAGATAGTTCTTTGGAGGATTCTAGACTCACATTCTAGAACTCTCTCCACCATTCTTTGTAAGGGCCAAGGGCCTATATAAGGAGGTGAGAGCTCATTTGCCCCTCACCAAGCAACCAAGTGTAATCTTCTATAGTGCAATACAAGTTCCTCATCCTCACAAACTCTCTTGCTCACTTGCCTTACTCTCTTCCTACACACAATACTTGCAAGCAAGCTTGTCTAGCCTTAGTCTTCACTAAGCTAGCACATTCAGGTGGACTGATTTAGTACTTCAAGGGGGTTTGAACGTGTCTAAGGCTGCAGTTGAGCTTGAAAGGTCCAAGCCTGTGACATCAAGCTCGGCGCGTTTACTAAACGAGCCTGAAAATTGAGCTCGAGTTCGGCTCATTTACTAAATAAACGAGCCCGAGCCGAGCTTTTAACAAGTTGAACCCGAGCTATTCATGAACAGCTCAGTTCATTTGCAGCCCTAAGTGCATCCCAAAAACTACGCAAAGGCCGAAGCCAAAAGGACCTAAGAACTCAACGAGCCCAAAAAACCAACTATCTCCTCTATAGATTTACAATCCTCCCTCAAACCCAACAAAAAAGAGAGCTAAAAATAAGAAATTTTAAAGCACCAAGAGAAGATTCCTCTCCATCAAATGCACCACCAAACACAAAGGGAAGACACCCTCCAAAAGTCACAGGCGTGGGACCCCACATGACAACCTCTCCAAACATCAATCAACCCTCTCGTAGACCTAGGCATAAGCCAATGAACTCCAAACAAGACAAAAATAAGACACCAACAGTCGTGAGCCACGAGGCAATGTAAGAGAAGGTGATCAATAGACTCCCCATTCCTTTTGCACATGCAACACCAATAAATCGTAACCTGTCTTCTCCTTCTTAGGTTATCAAGCATCAATATCTTGCCCTGAACCGCTGTCCAAACGAAGAAGGCCACTTTGAGCGGGGCCTTCGAATGCCAAACCACTTTCCAGGGGAAGTTAACCCCTGAAAACCTGGATAGACAAAAGAATAGCTAGCGGACACCAAATCTACCCTTGGAAGAGGGCACCGAAATGAAAGAATCCCACCCTCCTACATCCTGCCTATTTAAAAGCTCCAAAAAGGCATTAAACATCATCCAATTCCCAGGCCTGAAATGTCTTTGAAAACGCACATCCCAAGAAGTCCTCCCATTATCAAGATAATAACAGTCGGCAACCGAGGCTTGACGATCGGCGGCATTCCTGAAAATCCTGGGAAAAGAACAATCCAAAGAACGGTCTCCACACCAAAGGTCCTCCCAAAAATGGGTGCTCCTGCCGTCTTGAACTCTGCATCTGATATGTTCTGAAAATTCATTCTAACCCTTCCTAATGAATTTCCAGATGCCAACACCTCCAGCTGAACTAACTGCTCGAGAGCACCACCCACCTCTCTCCTCCCCAAAGCAGCGCGAGATAACTCTCCTCCATAATTGCTGATATCGGTGTTCTTCTTTCTGTTCCTACTCTCATGTATTGTACTAACAAAAATGCCATTCAAATTGCTGCGACTCTTTCATGAGCGTACAACGCATATCCGGATTGATCGTCATTTCTTGCTCTAGCTTGGCACTATCTCTCTACTGTTTGTTTCTTCTACCATGCAGTTGGCTGACTTCTTTATGAAGTCCCATGCTATTACGCGTTTTCATTTTCTTTTAGGAAAACTGTTGATGTTTTTTACTTTCACATCATGAGTTTGGAAGAGAGTCGGAGGGGATGTTAGATAATTAATTTTATTATGGGTAGTTTAGTCTTTTAGGAAATATAATATTTTTGTAACGTACTTTTGTACTTCTCTTATGATTGAATATAGCAGAACACGATTTTCTCCTTCTCTTCTAATCTTGCTGAGTTTTCAAGAAGTACCTCTGAAGGTTCTCCAATGTCTCCGATCGAGATCAAAATAATAAAGATGGACATAAAATAGGTCGACAAGGTTGGTGAGTGAGTTTCCCCCTTTTCACAAATATTTTCTTTTCTAGTTAGCGAGCCTCCTTTCGGCTCTTTCCACCGTTGAATACCATACAGGTTGTTGCCTTGAATAAATACCGAAGAGGCAACCTTAAATGGGATGAAGGAAGAGGAAAACTATGCAATCAAGTTGCTGCCCAACCCTACATATCTACCAGTTTCCAAATAGGAATTGTCTCTCTCTTGTTCAAATTAATTTTTAGAATTGAGACAGACTCAAAGTACAGTAGAATAAAAAGCATATACCTCAGCTCCTCCTTCTCAAGCTTTAACCGTTGACCTAATTCATGGTAAGAGTGCATGAAGTGTTCGCCTTGCTTTGAGGATCAATTGTAAAAAAATTATTTATTAACAAGCACTTAATGCTATCATTGTCTTCCTTGCTGTTGCTGCTGTATTATATTCGATTTTTATGAGAAGCATTTATAAACTGTGTTCACTGTTTTCTTGTTACCATTTATTCGAAATTTGGGTTCAGGTTTTTTCATTTGGGAGCAACCGCTGCAAACTATTTTCTGTTATCTGGAAAAGAATCGGTATGCTTTTTAGCCTGTAAAAGATTCAATTCATATATTTTAATTCTTACACAGCATTTTTTTTTTCCCCATTTTGACTTGGAAATCTTACTTGTGTTGGCTGCCTGTCAGTTTGCCTTCTTATTTCAGTAAATGCTTGTTTCTGTCTATGATGGAGATGTATATAACAGTTTTATAAACTAAATATAAGGTTGACACTCCTAATTTTTCTACAGATACACTACACTTTTTGTAAAAATTTAAATGGAACTTTAGGAATTGTTAAAGAATATTAGAAATAAAGGAACCTAACTTCACCCCCTAAAATTGATACAGAAAGTGATGTTCAAAGTATCGTATGTCTCAAATAAGACACCATTCAAATATTATAATTATCATTAAACGTGATATCATGACAAAAGCGCAAAAGGAATAAGAATCTTCTGCTCGTAGAAGTTATCAATTTATTCTTTTTAACAAAATAATTAGAGCACACCATCTAAACAATAGAGTTGGAAATGATGAAAGTAGATGAAGTTCCACTTAAGCAAGGGGAGATATTATTTATGGTGACATTAGATAGCTAGCTAGATAGCAAAGAACCTAGAATGATTTTTTAAAAATGACTCATATGTTGATGAGGAAATAGATTAAGAGCTACCTTTAACATTTACATGAGATTCTATCATCCTTTGTAGAAAGGAAGCATAATTTTCTGCATACCATACCAAATCACAAAAAGTATATACATTGCTAATGAGTTGGACGTGTCTAAGTATACATTCATAACACTGTAAGTAAAAGGTGAATATTAGCAATTTCCTCCAATTTGGAAGGTCTCAGAAGTTTGGGTTTTATGCCGCTGATGTTATGAAACATCAGACAACTTACCATTTATTTTCCATTATCTCTCTTTATGGCGAAGTCTTTTCATCTTTGGCTGTTTATTTTTGTGTGGTTCCAGGCTGCATTACTATGTTTTGGGGTTCTCTTTTGAAGGGTTTGGAAATAGAGATGGAATCAAAATTCTGTGGGTGGATGCCAGATTGACTATTCTTTGATAATTAGGGGGGATTATAATGGTAAATTTCCAGAGCGCAACTAAAAGGGGAAGCTTTTTGGGACAAGATCATTTGAATTTGTTCAAGCATCTGTTAGCAAGGAGAATGCTAGAGATCCTCTTAGTTGTATTCTTTTTGTACTTTTTGTGTCGCATACTTATGAATTAATATGCATTATTATTGCACAAGCTTTTTAATTTAGTCATACTTATTAAAAAAAAAAAAAAAAAGCTTTTTAATTTAGTCATGCTCACGCTTTATATTGCGCCTTGCGCTTAGGCTCTAGAAGATCTTTGGTGCCTTAGTGCACCCTGAGCCTTTAATTACTATTGAAGTGCGCCTTGGCTTCACATAGATCTATCCAAAAATTGTGTTTTTGACTGTTAGTTTGGGACATGGGAGGCTAATTTATGCTACAGTACAAATTGTGTATAATGTTTATAAAAAGGCTATTTAGAGTTTTTGATCTCCATACATAACATGCATTTCAGTGCAAATTAACTGAAACTAGAAATGTGAGATTCTTTTGTAGATCTTCAGAAACTCCTCGCTTTGGAAACTGGCTTAAATTGACATTATAGCGTCTCTTTCGGATTTTATCACATTAGAGATTGAGGAGTTAGAGATGAGATTGGGAGGCACAAATAAAATCTGACACATTTTAGGAAACCTAATGATTCAATAATTTAACAATGTTCGGAAAGCGTTAATTCTATTTTTTCTATTAAATGCTTCTCGGGAATGGAAAGAATTTCATTTTTTTCTTTTACTTTTTATCATTGAAAATGTTGGACGTATTGTGCTGGAACCTGATGCTAGATTGCTGGCATTTTTTTTTTACTCCAATTTAATTTGATTTCTATTAGAAGTTTACATACAAGTTAGATCACTTCTTTGATATTATGATACGTGTTTTATTTTCTTCAGCTACCTTGTTGGATGGGATTGCAAATACTGGAATGGTTGAACTTGGTGACTTTCATCTTGCCACATACCTTGCTGAGAAGAGATCTACAGGACAACCTTTCTTTAGAGATGGTAAGTACTTCACCTGAATAAATTAGCCTTTTACCCCCCAAAACTCAGATGGTGCTTTCAAAGCTAGTATAGAGCAGGGTGTGGCTATCAAACCTGGTTGAGCCTGTCTAATTGGGCCCAGGTAATCTGGTGACTAAAGCCTAACCTGGCTGTTTCCATAGTTAAACCACTTAAGGATGCAACTTGCTTCAGCCTGCCTGACAGTTTTTTCTAATCCAGTTCCCTGTAAAATTCTTAATGGCTGGGAAACTTAAATAAATAAATAAAATACTATGATGCAGTTCTTAATACTTTTGTCCATCATAGAAAAATGACAAAAATATTATTGTTCAAGTGGTTGGAAAATCTTTAATCTTTGAGATATCATTGACTCATCATCTGGAAGTTTCTTCTGGTTGACGGGAAGGGGAAGAGGTGTTGTTTGATCAACGAGGCTTTAGGAAGGAGCTTACTTGGTTACATATGTGGAGCTTTCAGTCACCTCTTTTAGAGGATATAAATAAAAAAACAATTACACTTTCTAGGTTAAGCTTATGGATAAAGTTGCACCGTCTAAAAACTAAGCTTTGTAGGGCTTGGTTGTTAACAATTTCGTAAGTTCATCACAAGGCCAAGGAATGGTTCTGTTGCTATGCAAATGACTCCAATATCGACGGGAGATTTATCTATATGTAAGTGAAAGTGGAAAGTCTGATACGTACATAACCCGCATGGATTAATGGAGGTGGGTGCTATAATATTGTGTCAGCGTTCTGGAGATCTGTTGGCTTGATGATGGATCTTTCTTAGATGTTACAGAGATTGTCATGGACATTCTGGTGGAAGTCTCTGTTCATCCAACTCTTCCCAATAACTTTGAGGTGGATCTTTAATCATGTATGGAATGGCTGGAATTCTTGAGGTGGTCTTTGTTCAGTAGAATTGGGTCTGTGAACTCTCAAGTTTCATATAGGGCTAAACTAAAGAGCTGTGTAAATTGTCAGTGATATCTAGTGCTCGAACTGCAAGTGTTTAGTCTTAATCATTTTGGTGGGCTATAAGCAATATATTTAATGGTTCTATGAAATATCTCTTTGTGAGTCAGCATCATTTTGCACGGGCAGGGATCCTTGTTATGTTAGAAAGTCGCACATTCCCTTCAACTATGAACATTGGTATTTCTTTGTGGCTGTATGATATCCCTTCTGGGAGAGAGATGGGGTTCCATCAGAAGTCTGCTGATGAAGAGATATTTCATTGGAGAACTGTTGGTTTGTGATTAAAAGAGCTGGAGAAGTGCAAAGGTTCCTGCATAGGGTTCAAGAGATCTGTTGCTGGTATCGATGATCTTAAAGTTTGCTTGAATCAGAATTGTCATATGAAAGAACTTGGTAAGTTGATGCAATTTCCGGATTTGAGGTTACTAGATTTTGCGCAGGGAGCCTTTCTTTCACAGAAAAATTATGTCACCGATCTATTTATAGAGAAGGGTCTTTTCAGTTGACACTAGCTGACAGAATCTTAACACAAAATTTGATAGTGATGCTGGTCTTCTATTTGAAGATCTTGGTAGATGGATTGGACTGGGGAAATTTTATATATGTTTCGTGCTGATATGTATTTGTAATTTGTCTTTAGAGTTGTTAATCTCTTCGAAGGTAGATTGTCCATGTCAAAGACATGTTGGGCATTGAGATTTCACGAACATTTTTTGGCCACTACCTCGTGGATGTTCTATTTAATTAGTTTGGATACTTAGCTAATACATCTCAAACACTCTCCAGTGCACTATTTACATAGCACAAAAACATTTTAACTGGATTGATGTATAGCACTCACCAAATGAAAATAAACATACGTATTGACATAGACAATATAATGATTTTCAAATCATTTCAATTCTGTTCTCCACATTTTGCCATTCTTAGAGTCTAAGTTGAGAAACAAATGGAAATTATGTATGTATCCATTAAAACTAACGTTTAAATATTTCATATCCTCATTGTGTCTGTTTGTTGCTTGATCAATAGGAAGGAGCCCTATTAAGTAAAGGCCATAACCAGCCTCTTTATTTATGTATGGACACCTTTGTTTCAGGGTGGGGCCGCCCTTCCTCCTGCTAATCTGGCCAATTCCAAACCTGTCTTTCCCACCCCATTCAATTCAATGGAGGACTTCTGAATTCTTGCGATTCCCAGCCCCCAAATCACATAGGAGTAATAATCTGTCTTCTACGCCCCCTTACCTTATTATTATATTATACTTAAAAGCTAGGGTTCCAAACCTTGTTTTTTAGTATTTTTTTTTAATAATAAATAAAATAATAAGCTCCCCTTCTAATAATAGTAAGGAAAGGGTATGCAGCTCTTCCTTCAGCTGGTTTTGTGTTAACATCTCATGTCTATCTGTGCTACTTGAGATTCACTCCTTCAGATAGGAGGGCAGTGGTTAAGATGACATTCACTCTCTCAAATAGGAGGTCGGTGGTTATGATGGCACCAAATGAGAGGAAGGTGAATTTGGTTGTTTTGCAAGAAATTGAATCAGAAATCTTCGTTGTTGGTTGTTTATACTTTATGGAAGTTTCCATTCAAGATCGGCTGCCACTGGAGGCTAGTGGTACAGGTGGGGTGTTTCTTCAATATGAGGTAGATGGATTGTGATTAAAAGAATGTGCATAAATTGACATATCCTGTTTCAAGCTTGTTTGAAATCATGGAAGATGGTTTTCTCATGGATTTTTAGAAGAATTTCTTGCCCGAATGTTTAGGAGGCAAGTAGAGGAAATTGGAAGTGTCAGAATACTCTGTGATGCTTGGGTGGGGACGTCAATGAAAGCTATCCTTTTGGATGAAATGTCATCACTGAATTTCCTCTTCAATGAGAAATCCAACTTTCTGGAAGTTATTTATGCTTCTTAGTTCTTATTGAATGATGTCACTATACTACTCCCCTTTGTATTTGGTGGGGTATGTGGCGAGAGAGAAATAGGAGATGCTTTGAGGGAGAGGAGTCTCCTATTGGGGCTCTTAAATACATATTTCTTACTTCTTTATTCTTTTGGGTAAATGGGCAGAATTGTATTTCAATGGATTGTCTTTGGATTTTGTTGATAGCTTAAAGCTACAGTGTCGTCATGGACGTCAGTTGTCTTCATTGGGAGCGCTCCCCTTTTGAGCGTTTTTTTTATGAAATATTTCTTACCTATCGAAAAAAAAAATCTCTGTGATTTGGTTATTACATTTTGTTGTTTGATATTCATATGTTGTTTGATTTCGTATGTTGTGGACTTGGATACCAGCTATAGTTTTATCAAGCACTCTACTACTTTTCTAATTCTTACTAACTAGATACTTTTACAGGCCTGCCTTCACTTGTGGCGTTTCCCCCCGGATGTAAAACTTTAGATTGTCTTGTGTGGTGAGTTTCTACTTGGGTTTGAATCCTGAAATTTGATGAATCATAAAATTAGGATTTTAAGTGAATGGCAGATTTAATAGTCTTTGCAACTTTCTATTTAAGCTGAATACAAATACTTGTATTCTTTTATTTGATTTATCTAAAATAGCAAAGGAAATTTTATGTGAAATTGATCTGTTGCATTAGGTATGCAGGGGAGCTTTCTGTTGATGCAGTTACTGATTGGGTTTCAACAGCCATCCTAAGTTTGCCTCGCATTACGTACTACTTTAAGGAGTCACTGGTAAACTGTGAACTCTCTCTTGGGGTCTTTATCTATTTTGTCATGACAAACATGTTTTCCTACAGGTTTCCTTCTTTATTATTTTCATAAACGATGTAACACTGGCATGAACAAGAGTTCAACCACAAATTATTCAGTTAAAATTACTAATAAGGATAGAAAACCACTATAATTTACCATCAATTATTGCTTGCCTTTTGGATTTGCTTTTGTGGTTGTGCGTTTTCCGTACAGTCTATTTAATAGCTCAAAATGGTCTACATCAATCCTGATGGTGAAAACTTACAGAGTGCCTTCTTTGAAAGTGGCAGTGTTCTTTGGCTAATTCACCTGAGAGATTCAGCAACAATGAAGATCACTAGCTTCTCAGAGTGAGAGCCTTGCCAGGGCTAAGAATAAGGTTTTCAAGGTGAGCATAAGATTAGGAACTTCTCAAACTAATAATCAAGTTTTGAAGGGTTTTATGTCTGAGACCTTTTTTCTTCCAAAGTACAGAAAGAGGGTCTTTTTTAGTTGAGGGAGGATGAAACCAACTTATGTGGACATGTGGATCTGGTATGGTCAATAAGGTGCCCCCATCCGAACTGGGTAGTTCTGTGAGAATGAAGTAGCGCAACACATTGAGGCTATAGCATAGGTGATTTCAATCATACGGCAAGTGTTACCTGGCAACAAGCTTCCCCTATAAGTTTCATCACGATGCAACAGGATGCCTCCATTTGTGTCAATAAGATCAATGTGTTCCCTTATTGACAATGTGGCTACTTTATTGCCAACAGGATGCTTTATAAGGTTGTCAATATCATCATGACATGCCATATGGGAGTCAAGCGTTGTCTATGGTTAGAGGCCTAGAGCCCTTGTTCGTATTGAACTTGCATATAGTGTTAATATGAATAAGCCGTCTTTGTGCTGTACACAACCAAACCGTGCACTGTACATCAGGATTCCTTTTTTAGTTTCCAAAATTTCATGCTATCAAGGTGAGGCTTATTTGGGCCGAGAAGTTCTTGCTGTGCATGCTGCCAATGATACTTATCTGTGAGGAAGAAGTTCTTGTCAGAAATAAGGCGGCTTCATTGGAGATAATGTGCCCATGGAGAACCGTGAAGGAGGTCTGTCTGCAGCCAGACCTATAGGGACAACTTCAATGTTCACTTGAGTATGTGACTTCGACAATGGGCTCCCTCAAGAGGGTAATCTACGGTAACCATGTCAAGGTCAACGAGTGTACTTTTCCTTTATTACTTAGCCAAAACCATACGACTTAATAGTAAGTTATCTTGATGAGCTTAAATAAAACGTCAAAGCTCTTGGACATTATAATGGTATTCAACTAATAGTATTATCTTGCGATATAACTTTGAGGATACAATTAGACTGGAATGAATTTTCTATACACATCAGATTCAGAGTTCAAGATGTCAGGAGTACCCTTTGGTGTGGAGACCATTCTTTGGCTTGTTCTTTTCCTATGCTTTTCAGGATCTCCACGGATAGACACGCCTTAGTTGCCAACTATTATCGACTTGATAATGGAGGATTACTTGGGATGTGCATTTTTGACGACATTTTCAGAACTGGGAATTAGATTATGTCTCAACTTTTCTGGAGCTTGGAGGGTCGGATTCTCTCATTTGGGTGCTCTTCCCAGGGTAGATTTGATGTCCGCTCTTTGTTTTGTTGTCTTTCCAGCTTTTCTGGGTTTGACTTCCCCTGGAAGGCGGTTTGGCGTTAGAAGGCCCCCCTCAAAGTGGCCTTTCTTGTTTGGATAGCAGTTTGGGGCAAGATATTGACACTTGATAACCCGAGACGGTGAAGACAGGTTACTGTTAATTAGCGCTGCATTTGTAAAAGGGATGAGTCAGTCGATCACCTTCTTTTGCATTGCCATATGGCTCACAACTGTTGGTATCTTATTTTTGGCTTGTTTGTTGTTCAATGGGTTATGCCTACCTTTGCGAGAGGATTAATTGATGCTTGGAGAGGATGCCTTGTGGGGTCCCATGCCAGTGATTTTTGGAGGGCGGCACCCTTTTGTGTTTGGTGGTGCAATTGGAAGGAGCGAAATAGAAGATTCTTTGATGGAGTGGAGTCTTCTTTTGGGGTCTTAAAGTTTCTTATTATTAGCTCTCTTTTTTGTTGGGTTCTGAGGAGAAATTGTAATTCTATAGAGGAGATAGTTGATTTTTTGGGTTCCTTGAGCTCTTAAGGCCTTTTTGGCTTCGTCTTGTGTTTTCTTTCAAGATGCTTTCCCCTTTTGAAAGCTCTTACTTATCAGAAAGAAAAAATAAGACAGCACACAAAAAGATAATTTGAAAAGAAACACCAGTCTTTCAATTGTATTTATTAATGGTTTCAAAGATCAGTATGTTCATGTGAGCTTTTGATTATCAAAAATTTACTTACGATGGTGATTTTGCTTGTGATTCTCGTTGATCACGTTGCATTTGACCAGTATCGGACAATATTTGTTCAACATTTATTCTTTGAACAAGCATGACAGTGTCTTACATTTTTGCTTGGTGGTTATTAATGGTTTCAAAGATCAGTATGTTCATGTGAGCTGTTGATTATCAAAAATTTACTTACGATGGTGATTTTGCATGTGATTCTCGTTGATCACGTTGCATTTGACCAGTATCGGACAATATTTGTTCAACATTTATTCTTTGAACAAGCATGACAGTGTCTTACACTTTTGCTTGGTGGTTTTCCTCCCCCCCCCCTCCCTCCCTCCCTCTTCTCTTCTCTTCTCTTCTTTTCCTTTCATTTTGAGGGGAAAAGGAATCAATTTGGTCTCATCTTAGTCTTTAAGGAAATCTTGTAAATATATACATGTACATTAATTCGTCTTACAAATGGGTTAGTTACATGGTGCAATTGTAGACGTTAAACCTGACAGGCCTGGAGAATGTGAGTTCAATTGTGAGGGCAGCTTTTATCAGTAAGGACAGATGTTTGATTTCTATGTAGTCCACCACTCCCAACATCTGGGGCCATTGGTTAGTGCACTGGTACAATTTTCGAGCTGTGAAGCGTGATAACGTGGGTTCGAATCTTGAGGCAACCACTTTGTGAAAATAATGCCAAAGGTTAGCTTTGTATCCAGTCTACTCCTCCCAACACCCTCTATTAACAGGGACCACACTGGGTAATGACTCATCACTCCCAAAATCCAACTTGATGGGACAATTTTGGTTCAGGACCTTAATTTGTCATACCCATAAGTTCAGGATGCAATGTTATTAGTGGCTTCAGGTGTTCCTTATTATTTACATTGTATTAAATTTTTAATTAAAGGTTGCAACTAGTTTCTATGCACAGTCAAGGTGGAATGGTTTCCCTTGCTATCATGTTATTTCATGGACTCTGTTGGCATTGATATAAAACTATATTTCTATTCCAGGTAAAAGGTTTTCTGGCAAAAACCAGTCATCATAAGGTACAAATTTATTTTCATTTCCATATATCACCAATCATTCTATTGCATTGCCCTTGCACAGTTTGTTGATTTACTTTGATTGTTATTCATCTTGATGTTTGTAGAACCATTTGCGTGTGCCTACTTGATTAATTATTCTGGATTTGTACAAACTTCCTTGTTGGTTCCCAAAGTTGAGAGACTTTGAGCTTCATTTTATTCCAAATAGAAGCTAAATTGAGTAGATTTCAATTTATTGCCGTGTACTGGCCTTTTTAACTAGTTTATTTGTTTATTTGAAATGCCTTTTTAGGAGTCTGATCACTCTCTCTAAGAGTATGCTATCAAATTATCAACTATGCTAAGAGTGTCTATTAAATTTGTCAGTTTGCTCCACCAAACCTGTTGTAGCACAGTGGTAAACATCTGGCATGAGAAGAGAGCCACTTCGAGTTGGTCTTGTACTGGTAATCTTTTAGCTTATCAAGTAGTCGGCCTTCCTACACGCATGCACCCACCAGAATGCTTCCTTGGTTTCGGATGAAGCAAAGTTGATACATACTATAGCGAAGGAAAGACATCCCAGTATCCATCGAAAAAAACAAATCAGTGATGGAAAATGGTATGGGCATATATTAAAACTAATCTTTTTTATCATCCCGAAGAAGTAATTGATTAAGCCGTTGACAGTTGATCAAAGTTCTATGGGAACTTCTTTAGGTGCACTAACGGAAACAAAAAATATGTTGATAAATGAACAAGTAGCAATGAAATGCATGGTTTGTGAATGTAAAATTATGATTTATGATATTTATGTATTAAGTGATATTCAAGACTTTCTTATTTGACTAATAAAATGTGGTGCGTTGCCCCATTAAGTTTCTACCATATATAATACACTATCCGATTTTTTTTTTTTTTTGTCCTAATATTAATTTTTTTGGTAAACAAACAATTGTATATAACTACAAAACCTAAATTCTCTTCTCAAAAAATTATGGAAGAATGTTATTTTGTTAGTTTAATTTATTTGCTACTCATAGGGGTATTTTGGAGAAGTCAATTTAAACCTCGTTTCATTCCAGCTTTTAAATTGGTCCAACCAAATGCTGAAATGGTAACGGACATTCCATTTCTGCATCATTTCATGTCTGCAGCCAAAAGTGTAGAATAGGAATATGATTATTCCATTCTCTACCTTGTTGTATTCATACTTCATTCCACTTCTTTGTACTAAACATAGCCTTGGATTTGTCCCTTGCTTCTATGCCTTGTTGCGTTCACATTGATCGACTTTTTTCTGCTGGTCGAATGGTTCATTATTCAGGCATTGAGGTTCTGTTTTCTTGATTGCCTAATGCTCGGTCCATTTTATGTAGAAGTTGAAAACTGGTCACAAACACTGTGTTTGGTCCTTTTGGAATGAAATAGATCATGGGGATTTTGATAGTCGATCTTCTTTAAAATGTTTTCCTTGATCTTCTCTTTTAATCTTATACTTTTGAGGTTTCAGCAGATATCATGTCTTATGTGTACAAGCTCCAATGAATTTAAGTGATCGTACCCTAAAGATGAGAGAATAGTTAATGTAAATATGTGATAAAGATCATTATTATGGCACTTTCCTGCATAATTATTCAAATCTTTCTTTTGCTGCACCTAGAAAAGAACTTGCTTTGTTTGTTGGTATATGTACAAGTCATGTATCCCCCATTTTTTACTGGCCATTGTACTTATCCATACTTGAGAACATGATGATTTATATGCAAGGAATGTGTTCTCCTGTAAAGATACTTTTGTAATGGTCATTTTGGCATCCTGCTTCAATACTATTGCTTATAAATTTGTTATCTATCTGGCGATCCCCTTGCAATAACATATAATGGCTTTTCTAATATCTTTTTCTTAGGTAAAAGTAATTTTCTTCTCAAAAACTGGGGAGCGTGCCACTCCGTTTGTGCGTCAAGGTGCTAAAAATTATTGGGCCTATGCCTCTTTTGCATTTGTACTATGGCGAGAAGAGGAATCATCCATTTGGTGGAATATGTATGTATATATTCTTCTTCCTTTTCTGATAGGAATAGGATGTACCATGTATACTTGTTTTTAGTTCTCTTACAAGATACTCTCTTATTGAATCGTCTACTGTATTTTGGATTATATCATATATCAAGAAATAAATGATTGGGTAGTATCATAACTATCTTATATTATTTTTTTTATCCTTGTTATCTATTCCATAAGTTGGAGCCAAAATTTGTCAGTCGTAAAAGTTTGCAATAGAAGAAAGAGAAGGAGATATTTTGTAAAATGAACAAAGCCAACAACATAAATGAATTTATAAAAAGATCTTTTCCAACAAGAACCCATACCAGACTTTTTGCTGTGTCAACAGAGTATGTTCTATGCTAACTACAGCATTTTGTTCTGAAGGTTTACTCTTCTCATATTTGACTTTTAATCTGCCTAGGTTTGTTAATATCATGAGTATGGTAGTTAAGTGATCATTTATAGCCCAACCATAGTCATTAGTCATTAGTCATTTGCATTTTATACCAACCAAATATGAGCATGCAGCACAATCAATGGGCTTCTGTACCTGGGCTTTTCTTTTATCCTTTCCCATTTTACTATTTTAAAATTTTCATTTCTCATTTATTTTCTTTAAAGAAACTCAGAACTGGAATGGAAAAATAGGATTCATGTAGGCGCCCAAGAAGTTGGGAAAAGTCTTTGTTTAGTTGGGTTGAAACTCAGGACCTGATTATTTATATAAATACATCCTTGATTTTCTTGTTTATTATTTTGAAAATGTCATTTTACTTTTGTAGTTATCTAATTTAAGTTTGGGCGATAAATGTATTGTATTTTTATTCTCATCCCTTTTCAAAATTTGGTAATTAAAGATTATGACATCAACATGTGAGTATGTGCTTTTTCGCTATATTCTGTCTTTGAGTATTAGACTACAGTGTCATTTTTGCAGATGATACTCAAGTGAGGATTTTCTTTGCATATTTGGCTAGCCATTTGAGAAGGATCAGCTGTTTTATTTATTTGCATAATTTATGAATCTAGCCATGGAGCTTATTTTTAGAATGTTTGTTGCTTTGTCACTTCTATATCATATCTTTTGTTTGATTTGAGATTGTTAACATTAAACAATCAATGTTTCATCATTTTCTAGCTAAATTGTGTATGACCTTGACAGAATTCTCATCATTTTCTACATAAATTGTGTAATGACCTTGACAGAATTCTCATTATTGACATCAGGTTTGGGGTGGAATCTGCACCTGCCATTGTAATTTTGAAAGATCCGGGTGTCAAGCCTGTTGTGTATCATGGCATGTTACCTTGTTCCTCTGTTTTGTGGTGTTCTTTTTTCCTCTTGATACTTGTCAAAAGTCATGATGCATATGTAATTTGAAAAGCTAAGCAGTGCATACTATTTGCAGGGTCAGTAAACAATTCAATGTTTACGAGTATGATGGAACAGAATAAGCATCAAGGTACTGCTTCCATTCTCTAATTTCTATTTATTACTTAGTTTTATAATTTTGGTAGCTAGGACCTTAACATTTTAAATAATTTTTGCCTCGTAATGCTACATTTATCGCCCAAACTTAAATTTTCGTTTAAATGTGCATGTGGTAGTGATGTAATTTTGTTAATGAGCTTCACTGATCGACTATCTAGTGATTGTTTCAGATCGCGTGGTTAGATTCACGATTAATTGAAATCTTCTATCGCATCATTTTTTCTCTTCCAGTCACTAAAATACTTCCTCTACTTGTTTATATTTTTTAAATAAGAGTACCTTCAATTATATTCTGATATTTTCCTCTTGGGACTTTATATAAATCTTTTCATTCTTATTATTTATGTTTCTATCTGTAGATTGCCTTATTCAGTGTTTCTTTCACACAAACGATATTGATATGGACCTAGTCAGTTACGAATTTTGCAGTGGAATGATTTGTCAAATGTCTCTCCTTTGTAAAATTATCCTTTTTTCTTCCATTTATGAGATTTAAAGTCTGTAAAGTGCTTACCATCATTTCCACGTGGTGGAATAAATTAGCTCACCAATTAGTGCTTCATAAAGGCTGTGGGGACTGATCCTGCTATATCACCACTTGAGAGGTATATGGGCACTCCTGGTAGTGTTTATTAGTTCTTATGGAGTCCAAGATTATGCCTTTTTCGCTTTTCATATCCTTGCAGTTTATTTCTTTTACCTTGTGATCTCTTAGAAGTCTTGTAAGTTGTTTACGGTGAGGTCATGGTTCTCATGGGCAAGAGTATATTATTGTATTTTTTTTAAACTTAAGGCTTAAATGTCAAACTTTTATTTTTTGTAGTGAGTTGAATTATAAATGTTATGGCAGTGGGAACAAAAAGAAGAAATGGAAAGAAGAAGAGGAGAAGAAACGTTGCAAGGGAAGGGGGGGGGGGGGGGGGGGGGGGGCGGGGTGGAGAGGCTCGTTCAACTAGGCCTAGAGAGAGAGAGGCCTATTCAGATAGGCCTACTCTCATCAAGTGCATTATGTTATACTCCGTAATAATCATAATAATTGACCCACCACTTTTTCCTTATTATACTAGTTCTCAACATATCCCCTAAGCTAAAAGTAGAACTGTTCCTTCATAGCTAAGGTAGAGAGCAAAGCAGTAAGCCTCAAAATCATAGATATTTGCCATGCACAGCTTGTTACACCACCAAAGGTAGTGACAACTGTCACAAAATCATATTTGCACAACCTAGCATGGTGAAAAAAGGAAATCGAAACATGCAGATATTTCTAAGAGCAAAATGGAGGTAATGGGTGAAATGACTTGCCTCTTTGGATTTTTTTTTTTTTTTTCTTTTATTATTATTATTATTGTTATTATTATTAGGGTTGCGAGCATTTAACACGCCGGTAGTATGCATATAGCTCATATAACCCCCTATAGTTTCTAAAAACCCCCTAATGGTTATTTTAGGGGCGAACAAGGACTTCCTCTCATTCAGCCATTAATGGAGCGATAAAAATACTAAAATGCCCTTTGTACAATTAAAATAAAAAATTCAGTTAATGTAAAATGACTATTATGACCTTTATAAAAAAAAAAAAAAAAAAAATTCAGTTAAAAGAAGGGCATATTCGGTATTTAAATAGTAAAAATAGTAAACAAAATTCAGTTAATGTAAAAATTCAGTTAAAAAATAGTAAAAAATTCAGTCAAAGAAGGTTATTTTCGGTATTTATTACAATTAATTAGTCATGTGCGAGGCACGTGATTTGTTAATGGTACTTTTCTAATAATTTACTGCCGAAAAGCCCTAGTTTGCAACATTTTTTAATTTTTAAGGGAGTTATATACCCAAACTAAAAGTGGGGGGTGTTATTTGCTCAAAAAGTAAACCTTAGGGGTGTTTTATATACTTAGCCCTTATTATTATTATTATTATATCTATATTTGTCCTCTCCCTGCTTGCCTTCTCATACCTGCTCACTCTACAGCTAATGCTATTACTGTGCTACTAAAGTTCTAACTTGGAATGATGATGTTTCAATGTCTCTGTGTGTGTGCATGATGACGCTTTTATGAAGCAAACTACAATATATAGAGAATGTTCCTTGTTTGATTTTTTGATTCCTTTCGTTTAGAGCTTCCCCAATTAAGGAGTGTGACGTCGATGGAGCTGGGTTGTGATGCCCGTGGTTATTCTCGTGCTGGAAATAAAACCTTAATCTGGTATTGTGTCATTCTAGCTGGAAGACTAAGCCCAGAACTCAATCAAATGCGTGAAGTAAGCTCCTTTGCCAATGTTGTGTTTATTAAGTAAAACTCTGCTCGGTTATTTCCTGAATACAGTTTTGCTATTCTATGAGGCACCTTTCCTTCATTTGGATTCCATTTAGTATTAAATCACGCCATCTGGTTTTTCATAGAATTTAAAGGTACAAATTCATATGCTGAAATTGAATAGAGAATAAAAACAAAAATAAAAGAATTCAGGATAAGGGAGCTTTCACCAAAAATAATCGTAAAATCATTCTAGTTCTGTCACTAATACTTTTCGGGAGTTAATTCATTTTAAAAGCTATTTAACAAATACTCTTTTTGAATATGACGCAAAATAAAATTGATCCTTTCATGTGTATGTTATCCAACTAACAATATATTTATCTAGTTTAGCAAATGGAGTAAATTATGTATATGTCAAAGACCATTCGCAGGGTCCAAGGAATACTATCAAATGATGGCGAGTCAAACACAGCGGATGAAAATTTATCAGCAACACCATCAGCCATTGCACTAAAGGAAAAACGTCTGACATTTACTTGGATGGATGGGGAAGCCCAAAAAGTGAGTGTTTTTCCCTTGTTTGTCTGACACGCTGATTTTTTTTGAGTTAGTTGTACTTGAATTTACAATTTTAGTAGTAAATAATAATACTTCAAAGATTGTGCTTGTGATTCTGTATTGGTAGTTGGTAGTGCTTTGTTCTGCATCCAAAAACTTTGCCAAGTTGTTGGTGATCTTATTTCATAGATTGCACTAAGTTGGTGGAGGTGATGAGCAATCATCCTTGTGGACCGATCTATAAACCCTGTCCCCTGATGGTGTTTTTCTAGCCATAAAAATGTTTCAAATAGTCACTTTGAAGTTATCCAATTTAGCAGCTGGACCAGTTCCAAAACAGTCAATACCAAAATTTCGTGCAGATCCCATCCCATGCAAATGATCAAAATTTCCTTCATGGGGTTTGCTATGGAACTGTACGAAGCTGAGAATATCTGTTCAAACACTTTATGACTTGTCCAAGCATCTTATCAACTTCATAATCCCTGTAGAGCTTTGTGAGGGCATTTGTGTATATATTCTTTTTCAAACACGGAGAAGGCTGTTGCTTGCTTGGATTTCATTGTTCAATTTTATTTTATAATTGTTATGACATTATTTATATTGATTTTTTGGTTGAAAAAACTTTTAAAGTGCTTTTTAGGTTTTTTTTCGTTTATTATTAAAATTCTCTCTCTCTCTCTCTCTCTCTCTCTCACACACACACACACACACACACACACACACACACACGCATTCATATTATCATATGGTCCTGCTACTTTTATGAATTATTATTTCTAGAAGTCATGGTAAACCATATGTTAATAAGCTTATAGAAATCATATTCAATCCATGAAGCCTAATATGATTAAAATCAAATCAATATATAAATAAGAGCAGATAAATCTTCTACCAAGAATATTTGGCCATGGACTATCCACTGCAAGAATGCAATTACTTCTCATTGGTTGTTGTATTAAATTAGTTTTTCTGTGTGTACTTTGACATGGTCAATTAAAACTATTCATTTATTCCCACTCGTTGCATGTTGGCACCCACTAGTTATAAATTCTCTGTGATTCCTGAATTTGTTAAACGAGCTAATACATTTACAAGACTAGGTGTGTCTTTTATAAAATGTCCGCTTTCTTGTTTATTGCTGGTATTCTTTGGAGCAACTGAGCAATCTATATACGCATAGTTCAGATAATACAAAGAAAGTGGTTTCTGTCATATCAAGTGAGGAATTTTATATTCAAAATCTATGATCTCCAGAACATCAGTATGAAGCATGCATAATTAGATTATGATATTGCCATGTTTGCGCTTAAAAGAAGCAACAGTAAAACTGTAATTGTTTCTTTGTTGTTGTCGTCGTTGGTGTTGTTATTGTTATTATTTCTTTGTTTAGTTGGAGTAATCTCTGGCTCAGCATCAAAACTCCTAAATAGGCTGAATTAGTAAAAAATGATCATGTGCTACTGTATAAGACACTGACATAATCTCTTATCCAGAGCCGCTGTCTCTTTTACATTCACTCGGAGAGCAGCTTTGAAACTTGTGGACCTAGGAGGGATCCATCAGATGTACCACGGTTATTGATTGTACGTTATAGAAGGAATGCTACTGAAGATGGTGTGAAGATTGAGAGAAAGACAAATACCATATTAGATGCATTTCAAGAGGATACGGATCCTTCATCACAACTTGTGGCGACTTACAATGGTTCGAGTGAAATTCTACAGGTGCAGGCTGCTTCTTGTTGTGAGATGGTGTATTTCTACCTTGTGCATTACGATTCTACTATAAACTGCTTTAGCTGCATTATTTGGTTCCTTATCTAAGTTAACAGCCTCTATTCTGAGCTTTGCAATAGAGAGCAAGAGAAAATGAAAGAAAATTACAAGATCAGCCATCACGAGGATGGAAATAAAATCATAAAATCATCAAGAGAGAGGTTGCAAACTAACATAACCTCCCAAATAACTGAAATGTCCACAGAATGTGGCTGATCCTTGAAACCTCTATGCAAGGCAGATTTTCTCTCCTGCCAAATTCTTCATGAGGTGGAGGAGGAAAGACTGCAAAGGAATCTCCATCTCAAAGACTTAGAAGATGAAAGAGTCCAGATCTTTCTAACTGATCCAGAGAAGAAGCATCAGGCTTAGGAGCATTCGACACAGAAAATGCAGTCCCAAATACAGCTAGAATAAGCACACTGCCAAAAAAGATGTAAATTATCATCTTCTGCTAAGAAACAGTTAGAACAAACTGCAGTAAGACTGAAACTCTTATGCATGCACGCACATGCCTATGCATGCATGCCCTAAAACCTATTCGTTTCCGGCGATTTCGACCAGTAAATCCGTCCATCTAATGACATCAAATTCACCCCAAAATGATACCAATCAACTCCCCATCCATCAAATTATCTATAGGAGCAAAATATCTAGTACTTATATTGTAATTAAACACCATCTCATGTAAAATTTTAGGGTTTTCATTCTCTCAACCATGAACACACCTCAAATCCGCATTATTTTACACCGATCAAAAGCAATTAATCCACATGTTTATACCATTAGACATTAAAATCATATAATCCAACCATCAATTTACCCAAAAACTCATCCATGTATAAAGATTCATGCTATTCATGTACATACACGGAACTGTATTTATATACACTGTTATACACAAAAACCAATGTATTTACAATCGAAAAGTTAAGTTTGACATATAATCATGAATCATTAATACATGTTTCACATCAAATCCATAATTCACCAATATATACAATCATATATACATATTTTTTCATGTATACGCATCTAAAGTATTTTCGTATTTATTAAATTAATTAGATTAAATTCTAAATATTACTAAGACATGAAAATCTTTGTAAATTAGTAGAATATCATAATATTGCAAGTTCTCTTGATCTCCTCTAATTCTCTCTCTCAAAGACTGGAGAATGATTTGTATAACTCCAGGGTTTTGTAGATATCAAATATATATATATTCCCGAGACACATATAATTCTCCTATTTAGATTAGGATTATTTTTTGTAGCTCTAATTTTTTTAATTTATTAGGTACTTAATTATTATTTTATAATTTTACCCCTTAATTAACCACTAATTTGTGATTTTAATTTAGTGGTTATTACAACAGCTCTGCAATTTCCAGGAATTTGAAAACAAGTACCCAATAGTACAGGTATGATACCAGCGTTGATTTGACCAATTCTAACCTTTGAACCATAGAAAAATTCAAACTATTCCAATCAATTAATTTAGCAGAGATCTTATCCATGAGATGATTGAAATGAGAATTTTTTTAGAGAATGATCAATCAAAGGGACTCCGGAAATTTTTTTAGAGAATGATCAATCAAAGGGACTCCAAAAAACACAATGGTGGTCTTACCAACTCTAAACTGAAAATTTATCTTGATTCTTCTCCTTCTTCTCACTGCCTTCAAGAAAATCAAGTTACTCTTGTCATTGTTAAACTGCAGAGATGCTGCCTTCTCAAACTCCATAAAAACTTCCTTAAGAGCTCTAGCACTAGAAATATTAGACTTCATCACAAGAGGAGGTCATCAGCAAAGAAAACATGAGAAATATTCACACTAGGAAGCACGGACACGCCTAAAAGGGCAAAGAATCCATGTCGGACACCGACACGCGCTGGACACGCCAAAATGTGTCTGAATATTTTATATTTTTTTGAATATCCGGACACGCCATGGACACGCTTCCGACACGCTTGTCCCACTCTTCGGGGATTTTTAAGAAAGTTTTAGAAACAATGTTGAGTTAAGTGTAAATATTAGGACTTTTTTAATTACATAATTACTTAAAAACTTCTTGTTTCATAAAACAATTTTATAGTCAAACAATTAGATATTTATTCTTATATTTTAGTTCAAAGGTTCTACCCCTTGCACGATCATCTTTGACTCCCTTCTTGTCCCACCAACCAAGCTTTGCTACCGGTGAATGGTCTCTCTCTCTCTCTCTCCTCTTTCTCCTCTTTTCTCTCTTATTCTCCGACCTCCTCTTTTCTTTCTTCTTCTTCTTCTTCTTCACAAACCCTAAATACTTCTTTTTGTCCTTTCACAATAAATTTCTTTTTGTCTCCTTTTCCTTTTTCCTCTATTCCTCATGAACTTTTTTCTCTTCTATGGATTCTTACCTTTATTTTTAACTAAGGCCTAATAATTTTTCTAACAAAACCCTAATCCTCTTTGTCTCTTTTTTTTTTTTTTCCTCTTTCTTAACACCCTTTCTATCGTTCTTTCTTTTTTCCAACAAAACACAAATATATATATTTTTTTCATTATGAGATTGTAACAAGTAATATTACTCTTAATTTCTTAAAGTACAACATCATATATATAGAAAATATATTTTCTTATTTGCCATGTCCATATCCTATTTTTTTAGGATTTGCTGTGTTACCCTATCCGTGTCGTGTCGTATCCATGTCCCGTATTCGTATCCGTGCTTCTTAGTATTCACTCCAGCCCTGGCAGCAAAGTTACAAAGTCTTGGATTCCCACTAGCAATCTTGTCTTCCATCAACTTAGAGAATTAATCTGTAACCAAGGTGAATAGAAGAGAGAAAGGATGCATCCTTATCTAATACCCCTAGAAGCAGAAAAGTATCCGGTAGGGACCCCATTTACTAGAATAGAGAACTTTGAAAAAATGCTAAGAGTCTTTTATCCACCTAATCCAGTTATCCCCAAAGTCACAATGGTGATGAATCTGAATTTAAAAAATCCCTAGAAACTGAATCATAGGCTTTCTTGATATCTATCTTCCATGCCATTGAAGGATCCTTTTTTGAAGGCAAAACCCTTAATCAAATCAGGAGCTAAAACTATATTGTCCTGAATTCACTGCTTGACAAAAGCAGCCCACTCCAACACAACTAGATACTGCAAAACTGGTCTGTTTGCTAAGATTTTGATATTTACCTTGTACAGAATATTGCAGAGAGCGATTGATGTTTAATCAGTGATTTTCACACCATGATTTTTTTGGGGATTAAGGTAAGAAAAGTACTGTTCTGCCCCATATGCAGGTTAGATGAAGAAAAGAATGAAAGATACTGCATTAACAACATCTCTGCCCACCACAGACCAATAATTTTGGAAAAAATTAGCAGGGTATCCATCTGGACCTGGTGCTGTATCAGGATTAAATTGAAATCCCCTACAACTTCTTTCTGGGCTGCTCAACTGAAGGAAACCCTTGATTAGCATAATAAAGCCCTCATAGAACTCAATCATCCATTCTTTAAACACCTTTGGATTCTCAGAAATGTCACCATCCTCCAAAGAAATCATGGAATCCCACTTCTTCTTTTTAACTTTCTAATGAGAAAATGTTGAACATCTATCCCCCTCTCTAAACCATTTCAGCCTTGACTTCGGAGCCCAAAAAATCTCCTCTTGCTCCAAAATCCCTTCAGCTCAGTTAAATATCAACACTCCTCTTGAATGAGCTCTGATTTTGATCCAACTGAACCCTTCTCAAATTCTCCCTGGCCTGCTGCAACTGAACCCTTTGCCTTATTCCACTTACTGATTTCGTTCTTTACCAACATCAGTTTCTTCATCAACTGGTGAATCGGATTTCCAATGACAATACCAAACTCTATCCACAATAGCCCTCACTTCCTCTTGCAAGACTTGCATACACCAAATTTTTAAGAAACTAAAGGGTTTTGGACCTCCAGAACATGAAGAGTGCCATTTGAAACTAAATTTATAATGGTCCAACAAGGATGCATCAGTAAGAGTGAGCTTAGTATCTCTGAAAGAATGTAACCAATCTGCATTGATCATTTCCCTATCTAATCTAGTCATTGTTCTCCTCCTAGGCTACTATTTATTACACCATGACCAAACCCCATTAGGAACTGGTAAGTCATCCAAGCCAACCTTACTAACACATTGTAAACTCATCAAGGAGAAGTTGTGGGATTTGCAAACCTCCAATGATCGTATCTCACTAGGTTCCAGTCACAAATTGCTTGCCATGGCCCACGACCGCTAGAGGCATGACCAATTAAAGAAGCTTCCTTCCACCAGCAAAAATTGAAGCATACACAGCTGAAAGATAGATAAGGTGCCCAGAATGCAAAGACTGGACAGATAAAAACATGGACTAAGCATCCTCTTTAAGGAGAATAACATCCAAAATCTTTGAATTACACCCCAACCAACAATGCCCAAAGTATTGGAAGCATAGTTAGCTAACCATCTCACCTTCCATTAATTTTCCTTTGGATTTTTAAAGCTTTATTTTCTTTAACTATGGTTTCAACGAAGCATATCAAACAGGATTTACCACTTACAATCCAATTCTTGACTTTATACCGTATTTGAGGCCTCTATCTTTCCAGCAGCCCATCATTGAGAAGATTGAGATGGTGGAATGGCTCCACCAGCACCCTTTTTTGCTGGTGGAAGGAATCTTCTACAGGATTGATGGAGATTGAGATGGTGGAATGCTCTTTAACTATGTTTTCAAAGAAGCAAATCAAGTAAGACATACCATCCAATTCTTGACTTTATGCTGCATTTGAGGCCTGTTGACCCCATCAGTAGAAGGCACTTGCACATTTTCCTTGTGTTTGCCCTTCTTTCCACTTGAACTTTCATTTGGACAAGGAGATTGAATCTGCTGAACCATCACAGTTTTAGTTTATTTCTGAGCATAGAAGTTGCTTCTTCTGTATCACAATTACCGAAACCTTGAGCAGACTCAAGAGGGTGCCTATCATGGCCATCACTTACAGGTTGAATCTCTCCATGTTCAGTAATACTGACAGACAAAGCTGAACATCCATTCACGTCAGTAGCTCATTGATCAACCTCATGTCCACATCCATTCCAGAATCCATAATAGCCAAAACATTCCTATATGCAGCATCCTTAGTTTTGTCCACCTTAAAATCTGCTCCAGCATTCTGCATGATATCATCTCCACGGGCTTCATCATCTGCATAATGTAAGCCTTTAGCAGCAATCCTATTCCCATGCCTCAACGGGCTTTCATTAGAATACTCTACCTCAACAATTGCATTAGTATCATCATCCCCGCCCCCATTGCCCTCCAGAACCCAAAATTGATTACACGATGCAATTTCTCCATCCTTCTTTTGTTTATCTGCTGCAGCATTTGTTCCGTTGTTAGTATTCTGCTTATCAATCACCTCTTCAACAGTTAACCCCTCAGTTTAACAACCCATTTCTCCATAGGTTTTCCCTTATTCTTCTGATCAACCACAACATTTAGAGAGCACTTTAACGAAACATGATCTATCCTTTGGCAATGAGAGCAAATCTGGGGGCACCATTCATACTCAAAGTCCACTTTGCGATTCCATTTTTCAGAATGAATGGCCAACCTTCGAACGTGTGCAATCTCTGAAGAGCCTTCTCCATATCCTCCTTAGACTCAAAATGAGCCACAAAAAACCCTTCCTTGACATAAATCAATTGGTAGAAATTGCACTATCTTTGTTGAATATATTTCTTGAAAAAAGGATAGTAGGGTTTTTTACACAACATACCCTATAACAGAGTTACTCCAGTAGGCTGCTTCTTCCCCTACAATCTACATCTCCATCTTCAATTCTAACCTTCATTTTCTTTTTGCATGCCCAATTGGAAGTCATTGCTCTATCCTCATTGAATATATTTCTTGAAAAAAAGGATAATATGGTTTTTTACACATAACATACCCTATAACAGAGTTACTCCAGTAAGCTGATTCTTCCCCTATGTTATGACAAACGCAACAAACCCAAGATAAAATCAAGAATCACGATAGAAAAGTAAACACATCTCACAAAGAACACAGATTTATAAATGGTTCGGCAACAGCCTACATCCACGGTTGAGATCCGGCGAAAGTCTTCACTATGTATAAAATCGGAGATTACAAGTTTTCAGCCACTCACTCTATTTCTGTACGAATTTCAGAGTCTCTCTCTTACACCACTCCAAACCCTAAGCGCCCTTATATATCGGGCCACAAGAGACTAATCACACAAAGCTCATCCAATGGGTCATCGGGTCATACCCGGAACCAAATTCGGGCCACAACATCACACCCTACAATCTACATCTCCATCTTTTTGAACCTTTTTTTTTCGCATGCTTACTCCAAGTTAATAAATGATGACTGAGTAGTTTTTCCGAATAGAATCCATAAGGACAAGCACGGAGGAGATCACTGTTGGGGAGTCAAAGTAGCCCGGTGGCTGTTGAGAGGAGGTGTTACCCTCCTCCCCTTTTGAGCGCTTTTATAAAATTATTCTTACTTATCAAAATAAAATAAAATAAAATAAAATCACCCTAAGCATGGATTATAGTGTATGTAGCAGCTTCATATTTAATTCTATAAGTTTGATCTTTTTATCCTTTAACAATTGTTTATACTTGTGATGCTGAGAAGGAAAGACTGGACACGTTCATATCCTTTGGCATTACTTTTCACAAATTCACTGCTCTCTGATTTGAATCTGTGCTCACATTTTGCTGAGCTTTTACCATTGATTCAAGCAATGACCCCTCTTAATTTTTTATCCTTGGAAACTTCCCATTTACTCTTTGCAGATGACACCCTGGTTTTCTGTGATGCTGATGTGTCTCAACTTCGACACTTGAGGTGTGTTCTGACTTGTTTTCAGGCAGTTTCCGGGCTAAAGGTCAATGTGACAAAGAGTGTGCTTGTCCCAGTAGGGAATGTTCCGGATATTTCCTCTTTAGCTGCAGTCCTTGGATGCAGAGTGAGCTCATTCCCTATTCCTTATTTGGGTTTGCCCCTAGGGGTCTCTTCTAGTTTAGTGGGGAGTTGGGATTCTGTGATTGACAGGTACGCGAAGAGATTAGCAGGTTGGAAGAAGCAATACTTGTCAAAAGGGGGTAAAGTTACTCTTATAAAGAGCACCTTGTCGAGCCTTCCCACTTATTTTCTCTCTATGTTCCAAATCCCTTGTTCCATTGCAGACAGGATTGAAAAAATTCAAAGGGATTTCCTTTGGGGTGGTAAGGGCGATGAGTTCAAGTACCACCTTGTCAAATGGGAGGATGTTTGTAAGCCTGTGAAATTGGGTGGACTTGGTATAAGACATTTAGTTCCTTTCAATCAAGCTCTCTTGGGTAAGTGGTTATGGAGATTTGGGAGGGAAAGACATCGACCATGGCGCAGGCTAGTCTCTTGTTGGTTTGGCGAAGAGGCTGGTGGTTGGTCTACGCGTCCGGTTACCCTAGCGGGAGGAGTAGGGACGTGGAAGGCTATTCGGAAAGGATGGGATGTTTTTTCGGCTCATATCAGATTCAAACTCCATGACGGACATTGCATTCGGTTTTGGCAAGATCTCTGGTGTGGGGATCAATCACTTTCTCGTACTTTTCCAAGATTATATAGTATTGCCGTTAATAAACACGCCTACATAGTCGACTGCTATCGGCTTGATAGCAGTGGGATTATATGGGATGTGCATTTTCGGCGCTTTTTTCAGGATTGGGAGATGGACGAGGTATGTGTTTTTTTGGATCTTCTGTATCGACAGGAGGGCATTGGCAGAGGTAATGATGTTTTAAGTTGGGTTCCCTCTTCTCATGGTCGTTTCGAAGTTAGATCTTTGTTCTTATGTTTGTCAAATTTTGTTAATCGAGACTTCCCGTGGAAAACTATTTGGCGGTCTATGGCTCCAACTAGGGTGGCTTTCTTTGTTTGGACTACTATGTGGGGAAAGATTCTGACAATTGATAATTTGAGAAAAGGGGCAATTGTATAGTTAATCGCTGTTGTCTATGCAAGGTTGGCGAGGAGTCCGTTAACCACCTCCTTTTGCATTGCCCTGTGGCGACTGACTGTTGGAATCTTATTGTTGGGTTGTTTGGCATGTGTTGGGTTATGCCACGATCTACTAAGGAATTGATTCATATTTGGAGAGGTTGTCGAGTGAGAAGAGACGTTCGCGAGTTCTGGAGAATTGTACCACATTGCGTATGGTGGTGCATTTGGAAGGAGAGAAACAGCAGAATGTTTGAAGGAAAAGAGTCGCCTACGGAAACGATCAAACTTTACATTCTTCGTTCTCTCTTCAATTATGTGAAGAGGAGCTTTTGTTCTTCTTCATATGATTTAATTACTTTTCTGGATTCTTTGGGGCCTTAGCTCCGGTTCCACTTTTGTAATTGGGACGCGTTCTCCTTTTGAACGCCTTTTTTAATATTATTTTTACTTATCAAAAAAAAAAAAAAATTGTTGACACATTTGAGTTTGTATCAAACTATTAATGGAAAGACAATTTTCTTTATAATTTAGTGCAGATTCTTATCAGGATTTTCTTCTTGTATTTGGCTGGCAGATCATACGATGGATCTCTCAAATAATAGAAGATGGTGACTCCAGGGATCTCCCCTTTTTTGTAAGTTTTCAGTAATAATCCTCTTTTTTGGCAATTTTTGGGATCAAGGTTTGCATTGGTGCTGTCCTCACTAGAAATTTATGCCTGTAGTTTTATTGTTAATTAGCTATGTACAAGGATTTTGGGATGGGTTATGCAAAGTTAGGTGTCATAAGGATCTTATTAGTTAATGTAAATTTGAATAATTTATTATGCTTATTGAGACATTAAGTGGAGTAACTTCTCTGTTGAGCAACAGCCATTCCACTCGGTACTTTTAGATCAGTAAGTACATTTAGTCCCTGTTGAACATGTGGGTGCAGAGAGGAGGGTTACGGTGTTTGTTAGTTCTGCTCTCATGTTTCTATTGGTTGTGCAAAATGTTAAAGTAGGGATTTAAATACTGTATGGACCTTAGAGCTGCACCTTTTTTTGGATCTATTAGCTTCTCAAAACCTCGTCTCTTGTCTGCTCCAATGCAGAGAACAAGAACTCCTGCACTTGTACCTGAGGATGCAGATCCTATTTGGTCAAGAGGTGCCACTAGCATTATTTCCACAAGCAAGGGAATGAAACAGAAGATTGGTAGCATCACAAGTAGAATCCATGATAACCTGGGAGATCCAAGGCTTGGTCCAATCTTGCTTTTGGGAGCATTAATGTCTTTTGGTAGCATCTGGTTGTGGAGGAGTCAATCAACTCATTCAAGTCAGTCAATTCAAAGTACGATGGTAAGTGTTGGCTTAGAAGTTAGAAATTGGGTCCCATCTTACTTCTGTGAGCTTTATCTCTTGCATGCACCATTATTTGTTTTGCAGCTGTCAACTCCATATCAAATTTTTATATCTAATTTCATCCCCTACTGTGGGTATAATCATCTCTGATTAGGTTTTTTTCTTTTTGAAAACATTCTCCTAATGTGGGTCAATAGTAATAATGTCTGATTAGGTTTTTCTTTTTTAAAGATTCTCCTTATTGTCATTGTCTTCATTTCAGTTCTTATGCGCGTGCGTGCGCATCTGTATGATTTCCTGGCTGCATTATATTCTACTTGAAAAAAAAGATATTTTCTTTTACTACTGTCTTCATATTTTTCCCTTCAGTTGTCACGTAATACCTTAGCAGCCATTGCTTGGTTCAATTGATGAAATGCTTGGGCTGTCAATGAGGACGTGTTTCATGTCTTAAAAGCAATTATTTTGCACACATGATACTAAAGGTTTGCTTTATATTATGCAACTTCTCCAAATGCCCTGTTTTGGTGAGGCCAATGTTAACCCCAAAGGGATCTCTTCACATCTTGGAGGTTGAGAGTTCGAACCCCTAAGGGCCACTCCCAGGGAATTTCCTAGTAATTTCCCTGTGCATGAAGAACAATGGGAGTGCATGTGTCTGGTGGTGGACTATGGATGCTCTAAGAGGCTTGACACCGCCGTCATCAACAAAAACAGTAAAAAACTAATAATTAATTAAAGCTATAGTCAAGCCAGGGATGTTTGGAGGGTCATTCCCCTTTGTTTGTGATGTGAGAGGAACAGGAGATCCTTTGAGGGGGAGGAGGCTCTTATTTGGTCTCTCAAATACAATATATTTGTATCCTTTATTTTTTGGGTTTATGGGCATAATTATAAATCTTTGGGGCATCTTTTGGATTTTGTGGATAGCTTAAGGCTATAGTTGTCGCCTTTGGTGTCTTATGGATTCTCTTGGGAGCGCTCCCCTCTTGAGGGCCTTTTATGAAATCTTACTTATCAAAAAAATAAATAGTAAATAAATAAAATAAAATAAAAAGTTAGGTAGTTACTATTTTCTCTAGTATTATACCTTATGGTTACATCTGCCTTCACCGCGAGTTTATTGTCCAATATTATTTTTATTACTTGTTTACATCTCTCTGGACCTATCAATAGCTTAGGATGCATCTATCCCTCTAATCGGAAAACTCGTCCTAGCTTTTTTCTTCTGAATCTTATTTTATTTTTTAAATTAATGAGAATCAAGAAATGTGTATAAAGGATGAGAACTCCTTCAAGCTGAAAAGAAAAAGGTGAAAGAAATCGTGTTAACAAGTATAACCCTTACAAACCAAACCACAGAAACCCACCCCCTTGCCACAAAGGATTTAAAAGTAATGTGATTCTAGATGCATGTGTCATACACCACTGTACATTAATCTTTGACTTTGAAAACATATTTAAAATACCTTGTTACCATGAACTAGCACTCCTATTCTAGATTATCCAGATTGCATAATGATGATGATTAGGGGTGGCAATTCGTGTTCGCGGGATATAATTGTGTCGTGTCAACCTAAGAGTATTCTATTAAACAGCTCAACCCGAACACGACACGTTTAATAATCGTGTCAGGAATTCTCAACACTTACCCGACCTATTTATTAAACGGGTTGCACGTGTAACCTGTTTAATGACCTATTTAATAAAACGAAACATTATATTATTTATATTATTAATAATACTCAATCAAACAATAAATACTAGAAAAATATAAGTTTTAATCCAACTAAATTACTAAATAATCTCTAATCTACAAAAGAATAAATTATAAAATACAAGTTTAGATAGTTATTTTGAAACTTAAATAAAAATTTGTTTATGTATAGTTAAACAGATGTAAATGGGTTACACGGGTTGAACCCTTCAACCCAAATACGACACGATTAACTAAACGGGTTAATCGTGTCGACCCGTTTACGATCTGAATCCGTAAAAGGTTAACTCGTGTTGTGTTTGAGTCATGTTGGCGGGTCGTGTCAAACTTTGTCACCGCTAATGATGATGAGTGCAATAATCCTGGTTGAAACTGTGCACAGATCTGTATAATTTATAATCTAGTAAATACCTTAGAAAGATTTGCTTCGACATACAATTGCTAAAGTACTTTAAAATGAGAAGAAAATGGAGAATATGGGAGTAAAGATTGAATGGAGGGAGCGAGGGAGGGGATAGAGAAGAGACAAAAAAGCATCGTAAGAGGGAGATATGAGAAGAGAACAGGAAGAAACAAAAAAGGATAATAAAGGGTAGGATCAAAGGAAGATAGAGAATAAAGACTAGATAAGAGAAGATAAAGGCGAAAGATAGGAGAAGATTTTGTTTTCCCTATGAAATCAACAGTGCCAAGGATTAAGTGTGTATAGGTTGGACATTGTTGATAAAAAATAAAAGATTGAAGAAAGAAGTTAAGAATGAAACATAAAGATATACATGGTTCGGCCACTATGGTTTGCATCCACGGCACACAAAGCCCAAAGGGCTACATCACTTTTATCATATTCTCTCTTAGTTTTGTTTACAATGACCACCTCTTAGAGGATATAAATATTGAAGTTATACCCTCTCTAACAAGTTAAGCTTGTAGATGGTTGTTAACATGGCATCCGAGTCAAAGGTCTCAAGTTTAAACCTCATGTTAGCCTCATAATTAAAATTGAAAACACGTGTTGGATCAAAAGAAGGCTACATGTGAGGGGGCGTGTTAGAGGATATAAATATTGAAGTCAGTTTAAGCTTGTAGATGGTTGTTAACTATAGATATAAGAATACAACCAATAAATATGAAAAATACATTTGTGGAGGATTCCTAAAATCAATCCCATAAATCAATCATATGAATACTGGTCAAGGCCTAAATCAATCCTATCATCATAGTCTCCTAAGACCCCCTTTCAAGTTAGTACACAAAGATTTTATTTCAAATGTCTAACTTGAAACAATGCGAAGTTGTCCAGAGTCTGAGACGAGTAGATCTGGAGATTCGAGACGAGTAGATCCAAGACGAGTTGATCTTGATATCTGAAACAAGAATATCTGAAGATCCGAGATGAGTAAATCTGATAAAAAAATTCAAGCGAGACAAAGGAGAGCTGAACGAGTCTAGAGTAGGATATGATAAACCTACTCTGATAGTGTGTTTTGATAATAAAAAATAAAAGATTTGAAAGGAGAAATTAAGAATGAAACAACACAAGGATATACTTGGTTCGTCCACTACGGCCTACATCCATGGCACACAAAGCCCAAAGGACACATCTCTTTTATTATATTCTCTCTAAGTTTGGTTACAATGACCACCTCTATTTATAGATAATAATACAATTGATAAATATGAAAAAAACATTGATGGAGGATTCCCAGAATCAATCCCATAAATCACTCCTGATAATATTTTATCAAGGCTTAAATGACTTCTATCATGATATTGTCCCAACAGACATAATAAACCAGCAAAGAGGACTCACCTACTGCTTTTTTATAGCTTCATCCGATCCGTATGGTAGATGGACTCTCCTATTCGCCCCTCAACGTAGCCATGTAGACACAAGGCTAAATGGATATAATTATTTCACATTGAATCTGCTATTCCACTCAATGTAGCTGTGTGTAGACACAAGGTGATATGGATATAATTATGGGATATTTTCCGACACATAAGCTCAAATTTGAAACCCCTATCCTTTACATGTGATAATAGAAGAAGAATAAAAAGAAACTCAAATTTGATAGAATATAGACGTACCTACTTCTGAGTTAGATGGAAATTTATTTTAATGCATCCCATTTTATTCAAATTATAATTGAGTATATTCTTAAAGCATACTTGCATTATACAATTCAGTCTAGGAAGTAGTTCTCTTAGGGAGCCGTGGCAGTATCGGATACTTTGGATACGCCGATATAGTCCGGACACGTGTCAGATAAGTCTAAAAGTGTCGTGAAAATTGAATATTTTATTTTCTGGTTGGACACGGCAAGGATATATTTTTTACACTTCCAGGTTACGGAGAGGGGGTTTTGTAATTATAATTTTTTTTAAAAAAAAGGGGATTCAATGCAATTTAATATATATTATGGGTTGATTAGAAAAATAAAATAAAATTTAAGAAAACAAAAATAACAACATCTAGCTCTAAGCTCCAAATTAGTGATTATTCATGATTTTATGGATAAAATGGCAAAAAAATATTATTTATCCATGCTGCACGCGTATCCTATTTTTAAAAAATTTCCCGTACCACCGTGTCCTTATCATGTCGTACCCATGTCCCATATCCGTATCTATGCTTTCTAATTTTCACTATTACATAACATCTAATATGCACGCGCACGAACAGAACCTGTATATAAATGGATTCTGGGAGGTCTGACACTTTGAAACACACTATCCATGTCTATTTAAGATATAGTCCATCAGTGATGGTAAGGGGATTATGAATGGGGGGGATTAAAATATCCTTTTGAATAGTAAAATGTGCTTTCATTTTAAACTTAGAAAATTGTGGTACAACTAATGGTTTGTCTACTCTTAATTGTTTGGGCCTGTTAGCAGGTAATTGTTAATTTACAGAGTAAATCTACAACATGATTATCTGTAAAACAGTTATAGATTTACGAAGTGCATTGGCAAAATGTGAAAAACTGTTGAGACTTACTAACGTTGTAGGAGTTTACGACCCTGAAAACATGGATTTTTGCTTTCAGTCTTTTGCTAACTATTTACAGTCACAAGATGACTGAAACTAAGTGTCAGCATTCTATTCATGATCATCCAGTTCAGTTGAAAGGGGCTTGTATAAGCATAGACGATGTCGTGTATTATTCCTTTTCTGCACTTTGTTGTCCTCCCCTTGTTCTTATTTAGAGCATTTTGATGATGAAGTGTGGTATATTCATTTCCAGGATGAAAACCGACGAAATAGGAGAGATCGCCGAAAAACCATGTCAACCCGAGGTCAGCCTTCTTCCATCACTGACATGGAACCAAAAGATGCTCGCCAGATTTCACTATCAGATTCTGACGCTGAGTAATAGATGCTGTTGAGAGGAATTGAGGTTTGATCGATGTTGTGACCCTGGCACAATAGTCCTCAAAAGGAATCTAGGTTTGATGTAGTGAATTGGACACACTGGTCCTCAAACTAAATATCAAAGTTTATGATCTCTAGTTTGATTGTAATGGTTCGAACACAGAAATCAACACAGCACACTTTCCATTACAATTAGTTATTATTGTGCACCTATACTGTAAGCTTGAGCAACATATTTGAGTTGATAGGTTTCTGTTCTGGTTTTGGTTAATAAATGTTAAAATCTTACTTTTTCTGCTATTTTTTTTAATGTTAAATTATTGCATTACTCTCAAAAATTGCTTTATCATGCTTCTTCTGTACTTCTGTAATACAGCCTATATCTGCACAGGTGGACATCTTGACCTAGCCTGGATATCACACATCTTATATCTAAACTTGTTACAATCAAACAGCTTTCTAGAGATGAATGGGCTAGATGAGACATTTTCAATTGTGATAAAAAGCAAGATTTTGTCTGTTGTATAGGCAGCTATTTTTTCAAAAGCAAATAGTGTCGTTGAGTGTGGGCTCTATGAATATTATTTGTGTTGGTATATTCTGAAATACCATCATTTTTCCTCTTAATGTTTTTTTCCTGGGCCTTTGTTTTCAACCTCTCCTTTCACTCAATGAGGACATGTAGCACACTCATTTAGCATTGGTAATTGATTTGGTCAAAGGAAGAATCCTGGAGTTCACCAAGAAAAGTGTTCTAGGGGGAAGCTGTGCTATTCATCCCACATGCCAGGTTGAGTGTTCAAGTTGAGATGATTTAATTGGATGAGTGTCTTACATATGCATAATACACACACACAAGCTAATAAAACATGCGGAAGTAATTGTATGATCATAAAGTAAAAATAATTAAAATTTAAGGATCAAAACAAATATATATAAAAAAAAAATTATGTATAGAATTTTTTGGAGTAGATGATTTAGTTTATGATTTTATTAATAGTGAATATAGGATTTTTATAAGTCTATGAGTAAAAGAATTAATTTTATATATTTATTGAAATAAAAAATATATTATAAAAATTTAAAATACATTATTACAAAAATAAATATAAAAAAAATTTGGGCTGTAGATCAAATGATTCCCAAATTCTATAATAACCGGACACTCTTTTATGTATCAAACTTTTTTATAAGAATTTATTTTCCATACCCTCTAAAACATATTTAGAAGGAGGACTTTATTTACTCGAGGTTAGGCTTAATTATAGGGCGTAACTCTAATGTTTCAAAACTTCCACTCTGTCATAATACTTTGTCCTTTGCGGTGTCAACGATTTTTGTACCAGCGAAAACATTCACCCTCACTTTTAAATTGAAAATTACACATTTATCCTTAAAGACTATCACACCTTATTTTTTTCACCCTCACTTAAAAATTGAAAATTACACATTTATCCTTAAAAATTGAAAATTACACATTTATCCTTAAAGACTATCACACCTTATTTTTCTCTCTATACGTTTTCTCTCTAAAACCTCTTATGTACGGAATCTCTTTGTATAAGCCTATAATGTGCTCCCTCATTTTAGTCAATTCCCAATTTTTACATCATGTGTCCTCAATTCTGTTTTATTTTTTATTTTTTTTATTTTCATCATCACAATCACCCCCAAAATCAACGAAACACCGCAATAAGAGTCATCATCGCCGCCACCACAACAATTGGCGGTGGCGCTGCCACCACCTTTTTTTTAGTGAACTCCACTACTACCACCAGTGTCGGTGGCTCTGATACCACCACAATCAGCCCAGGTTACCACCGCTGCCATCCTTATCTCCACAACCATGAACAACAGCGCCACCACCGGCGGCAGTACTGCCACCATCCCTGTAACCGTCACCAACATTCTCTATCTCCATAAACTACTACCACCATCCCCACCCAACTACCACCATCTCTGCCCCCATAACCACCACCACCACCACACCTTCAGGTCATTAAGGAAGCCCCCTTCAAACCCACACCTGAATCAGAAAATTGAGCCCACGATCATCGATGTGATTTCCGGCAGTGGCGGCGCTAGCGATGATCTGAGGCAGTGGCAGCTGTGACGATTATTGATGTGATTTCCGGTGGCAGCGACATGGTTTCCGGCGATCCACGATTTTGTTTGAGAGAAAGATACGCCGAGATGGAGAGAAGGTGGGGTAGATGAATATGTGTGGAAATAAAAACAAAACGGCTCTTTCGATGGCGAGGAGCCAGGTTTGCAAAGTAGACGCCCGCCGCGGGGCCGGGTTTCATTCATGCTTTAAATACAGAATTCTTGTGCATCAGTCATTTAATTAAATCCAATAATTTATAACCTTCTAACATATTTACAATTTCAAAACTCTTAACATATTTTCACAGTCAAGAATTCATTAAAGTATATTTCATTCAAATATTAAAACAAATAGCTGAAAGAATGCAAGATATATATATTCCTTATCATAAAAATTAATATTTCACTATATTAACAATAATAATCCATTATATTAATCCACTGATACCTTAGTGCCTTACACACCGAAAAGTATATGTCTTCTTCTAAACTAACAATGTGTTTGGTTTGATGGGTGTCCAATTACGTTTTATTATGGCTTCTTTTGTGATTGGACTTGTCCATAGTTCGTGGACTTGCTCATATTTAAAACTTTTATTAATTTTATAACTCTTTTTATTTATAGAAATACTATGGATTGGGGGGTTGGGCTGATAGGAAAAGGAATAGTAGTACATGGGCTTATATGAACAATAATACTAATTTTTTTTTTTTTTTTTCTTTTTTTTTTTTTTTTTTTTTTTTTCAATTGGATTTGGGTTATAGCTCAGGTTAACCCATTACTAATTCCGCCGTTGGAGACACATGCAACTCTATAAATATCCCCAGGCTGTCATTTGTAAAGTGGTTCATTCATTTTCTTCTCTCTCCCTCTCTAGACTTCAACCCAACCCAAGTGGGTTCAAGCCATATATCAAGTGATCCGAGCCACTTAGACCCAAGAACAATATGAATGGGCCATATTAAAATTAATCCGAACCATTTGGTTCGGATTATACCTAATTCATTATTTATATAGTGTTGAAAGTACAAATAATTTTTCCATAATTGTAGAGAGAGAAACTTTACACTCCCAATGATTTTTTCCAACCTCTTTTCCCTCTCAAGCCCCCTTTATTTATAGACGGTTATAATCTCCACTGAGCTGGACCTATCTTGTTCTCTTTTGGCTGGACTCGACTTCCCTCATTATAACATGGGCTTCTGAAATGCCTTTATGGACCTGGGCCCATCCAGCGCGAACTTGCTCCATCCCATTTGTCCACACCCGACCCGTCCTATGCAATGTGGATCACACCAAACCCAGGTCATTTTGGTGTTCTTATCTGCCCCCAATAATCTCTTTCTTCATTAATGAGGGTGAAATTATTGAAAGGACACGATCTTGGTCTGACGGCTTGGAGTAATGACTCGAGGAATCGAACGGCTGGCACAAGAACCCAAGTTTCGAGATCTGCAGCGCCACTTTTTGCCTTGACCTTTGGAGTTTCATGTCGCTTTTACTTCTCCTCTTTATAAATTCTGGTCTCTCAACCTTCACCCTTCCTCTTACTTCTCGCTTCTACTCTCTGTTGCTTTCCTGCACATTCCGGCAATCCTTCTTAATTTCTCTGGCGAGTTCTTCCGGCAAGTCCTTCCTTTTCGATTTTTAGCTACTGTGTCGTTGCTGAGTTCATCACAAACTTTCAAGGTTAGTTTTTTTTTGAAAACCTCTCCTTAAGAGACGCCTTTACTGCTTAGAACTCTTCCCCTTTTTCATGGCTTCCCCTAACCTGAACGCCATTCGATCCAAGAACTGTATCCCTCACGACGTTTCTCTCAGAGTCTACCCAACAAACTTAGACGAGAGATCTGGTGAGGGTCTTCTTCCTGGGAAAGTTTTATTCTCTGCCGTTCACTTGAATGTCATTAGGTTCCCCGTACACCTATTCTTTTGTTATGGTTTCAATAAATTGGGGCTCTGCCCCCTGTAAGTTAATCCAAACTTTTTTAGGGTAATTTCAGTCCTCCTGCTCTTGAATCGTGATAGGGGTCTCAATCTTGACATTATTGACCTTCTCCTCTGCTATCGGATTAACAAGATTTCACAAAACGACTTGTACTATCACTTCTTTCCTATTGACAAATGGTCAATCTGCACTGATAAAAGCTCATTTGAAAAAGGTTGGAGGCGGAATTTAATTGTGGTTGGTGGGAATTGGCGGACTCCGCTCGGCCATTCCTTCCCTATCCCTTTTTCCTTTGGAGCATGTTCTGTCTCTGGCTACAAAAAGCTGAAAACACATCCTTCTAAATGCCACTGTGAAAGTTGTCTTCCCCGTTTTTGCACTTTTCTTTGTAGATGCCTTCAAATTCCCCATGATGAACTAGTTTATAGCGTCTGCAGGGCTAGGCTAGATACCTTGCAAGAAAGCGTGCTGAACGATGTCCCTTCAGCTACTGATTTGCTTACATCTGATAATCTTTCTGACATCTCTCTTTTAGGGTCTACAATGGAGAACATTCAGATCCCATCGTTCAGTAGGAGGAGACGTCTTGCTCCCACCCCTTCTAACACTCCTGCAGTCATTCCATCACCTACACCTGCTTCCACATCATCTCTCCCTGCCGTCTCTGCCCCAGAGCAAGTTGTGGTTGCCCCAGCTGCGACTCAAGTCTCAACTCGTTCTGCTGATGCGCCCTCCGAGCTCACCCATGCTGAGAACCCTGTTGTGGGCCATACTGCTGAAGTCCATCCTGCTGCCCCCGTCATTATGCCATCAAACATTTCGTCCGACACTTCTTCAGAGAGCACTCAGGATGCTGGAAATTCTGAGGACAATGGGGGGCCAGCTAATGCTGTTCTGTCGGAAAAGAGTTTGGGAAAAAGGCCAATGCCTGAGGGCGGTCATGATCAGATTGATATCCCACCGACCCGAAGGATCAGGATGGCTTCCTTCAGGGTTACTGGACCATCGCCCCCTGCTCGGTTCTTCATTCCTGAAGGCGAGTCGGCCAGAACCTCTGGTCTAATTCCATCCGTTCTTCCATGGCGACCTTTACTCAGCCGTAAAGATGGATCAACCATTGGCCCCACTGACTCAATATACAAGGACCCCCTCACCTCGTTTGCTTTCTACAAGGGTTTCTGGACCCCCAAAGACCTTGAAATCCAGAACAAGCTATCCTTTGGTGAGATGTTCCAACGGTTCCCG